AAGACCAAGGTGCTTATCAGCTAGGTTCCCTTTTCTCAGGAGCATGAGAAGTCCTTGGGATCCTGTTTGTGAGGGGGCAAAGCTATCTGAACCTTAACACCTTCATTCCCAAACCTGATGCCATCTAGAGGTGCAGGAATGGACTCATTCTCTCTGCAAATTAAAGCATAAAAAGGTAGGAAAAAGTGTTACTGGAAATCTTGGAGTCTCAGTAGAGCCATCATATGATTCCTGGGAAATCAGGGCTCCATCTTGGGGTTCTTAGTCTCATCAATAAAAGAATTTAAGGAATGGGCACTCACAGAAGCTCATGGACAATTTTTCAGGGTTTAAAAGGAAAACCCCAGGTCAGGCAAGCTGCTTGGGAGAATGGAGAACAGAAGGAACAGAAGTCATGCTGCTTTTGAGAATAGGCAGTTTGGAGGTCAGCCACCTGGAGGCAGGCAGCCACATGCCAGCGAGGGGAACTTTAAAAAAACAGTAAGGTGCCACACAGCTTTAATCCCAGCACTCGGGAGGCAGAGGCAGGTGGATCCTCTGTGAGTTCAAGGCCAGCCTGGTCTACAGAGTGAGTTCCAGGACAGCTGGGGCTACAGGGAAACCCTGTCTCAAAAAGACCAAAAAAAAAAAAAAACAAAACCAGTAAGGAAACCCAAAGGGTTACTGAGGGAGTTAAAACCATATAGAAAACAGATGAGAAAGAAACTGTTATGCCTCTCTGAGGAATGGCAGGCAGACTCAGCTGAATCTCAAGGTGGCTTATAGACTGCACTGTGGGAAGGAAAAGCACATTATCTTTCAATGGGCCTGTCTTCCTAAGGGCTGGGCCCTAACCAGATCCCTGACCTGTGCCACTGGATTAACCCTTAAGGGAGGAGGCAGCGCAGGCCTCCACTTAAGAGGTGGATTCCGTTCTTTTACAATTCCACCACACACTAGGTCACTGTGAACAAGTCACATGACTTCTCCGGTTCATCCCCCACATCTATAAAATGGGAATGAAACCATTTTACCTGCAGCAACATGATGGGACTCAACCAAAGACCCTGTCTCAAAAAGACAAAAAAAAAATTATATATATATATATAATTTCACTCTGCACTAGAAATGGTTTCCTTTGTCAGTACAGTGATCTTTTTCTGCCACCTGGGCCTGTTACAATAACTCCGGCTTCACAACCTCTCAGATACAGATGCTGAGAAGGGACAGGTATCAGATCAACAGACATTGTTTTGGTAATAACCGGATCACTTATCTGCAAACTCTGTCCCCATCCATACAGGAAGTCTGGAGGGACGGTTTCTGATTCCTGGGTTGGGCCACTGATTTAGGCAGTTGCAATTCTTCCTAAATCTTTCTTTAAACTTGATGATCTCTTTTCTCTGTCCCCACAGCCATGGCCTGTCTCTGCCTCAGGGGCCTCTCACCTTAACTACACCCCTCGTCTGCCACACTGCAACTGGTACCTAACACACCTAAAACTGTGTGTCCCCTGCCAGGTAATTAGCAAACTCCTTGACCTGGTATCCAAGGCAACCTCTCCAAGGCTGAGCTCTTAACATTCTAGGACTATTCTTTCATCTACAACACCAAACTCCTCACTGGTCTAAAACAAGCTCAACAATATTCAAGATTATGAGACTTTGCATTTGTTTATGCTACCTGACATGCCCAGCCTCTCACCCTACCTCCTTCACCACCTGTCTATACATTCCTACCTGTTCTTCAGAATCCCAAATGCCACCCGAGTCTGCTGTCAACCTCCTTAATCAGACTGAAGGCAGTGGCTATATCTTAGTCAAAACCAATTTCCTAGGGTTTGGACTGATAGTTTTCCTTTAAGTAAAAATGTTATCAGATGCTTCAATCTGTGAACAAGGTGCCAAGGGATGGTGTGTGTTTAGGGGGACAGAATCATAAACTTGTATATTTAAAAAAGAGCCTCAGATCTGGATACAAGTGTTTGTTTTTTTCCTGGTGTTGGAGATGTAAACTCAGCGCCTCAAAGAAAGAGGACTCTATCACTGAATCTCGTCCCTAGCTTTTTACTCTTCTTAAATTTTGGGAGTCTCCCTAAGCCGTCCAGACTGGCCTTAGACTCATTCTAGCTCAGACTAGCCTTGAATTCATGATCCTCTCGCCTCGGCCTCCAGAATAGCTGGAACTAACGCCCGCACCACCAGGCCTGGCTGCAAGAGGTACTGAAGAATTGGACAACTACTGGGTCGCCCTCAGCCACACACCTGCCTAAGGTGCCCCTCTACCAGGCCTCCCCCGCAGCACCACCCACCGTGTGTCCCCGAGGCAGTGGATGTCCTACTCTGTGCACAGGACTACTAATCCCACGGGCAGCATCCCGCCCCTCCAGTGCTGCCCACGTCCGGTCCCTCGGGGTACAAGAGACACACCCCTAAAGACAAAGCGACTTCCCACCGGAGCACCTTTCAGGCCGCCGTCCAACTAAACCAGCTTGGGGCGCCTTCCCACTTTCCTCTTTAAACCCTGCGAGGGCGGTTTGCGCAGGCGCACTGGGCCGTACTGAGGCCCCGCCCCCTGATCCTGGGTAACGGCCTGCGGAATCTGAGCGCCGGGAGCGGCGGATAGCGAGCGAGTAGGTCGGGGCTCGGCGACGGCGGCTGGCGAGGGTCAAGCTTCCTCGGGAGGAGCTCAGTGAGGGAGGGGTCTGCGAGGGTTGGAACGCCGAGGCCCGCAGACGCTGGCTCGGGTCTGCGGGCCTCGGAGGCTCCTGGGGGAGGGGGTGGGGCTAGCGCGTGCCCGATCTGGCTTCCCGCTCGCCCGCCTGCAGCTTCGGCATTGCCAGGGTTTTAAGGAAAATTGCAAAGCCACGAGCAAAAGCTGAGAGAGATCGGGGAGCGGGAGCAAACTTCGCCCGGGGTGGGGGCCGGAGGGCCCCCTGGGAGGGCGTAGCCGGAGCGCTGGCCTCGCCCCTGGGATTAAAGTCCAACTGCATTTCCTCATAGGCGTTTTAAAGTTTTTGGTGATTCATTTATCACTCATTTATTTACCGCTCATTGAATTCTGTACCAGCGGAGAAGTGATCTAGGCCAGTGCTGCTCTTATGGTACATCCAGGAAAGAGGCTCGAACCCTAGACACTCTTGACAGAGAAGTACAGGAACAGCTTCCAAAAGTAAATCAGGAGTTTGCGGGGGGGGGGGGGGGGGGGGGGGCGGTGCTCCAGAGGGAATGCAGCTTTAAAGCCCAAAAGAAAACGGCCAAACAAGACCTGGGGTGGGAGAGAGGTTGGTGTGTCTTGGTCACCGAAGATGCTTTCATTAGCATCTGTTTGAGTGCCCGGGGAAGAGAAGAAGGTGGCCAGGGCTGGGCTAGTGTCAGTAGAGACCAAGGTGGAGGAATTGAAAGCTGTACATTTAGGAGAATCCACAGGACTGGAAGAAAATGGGGTGTGGGAGAAAAGTGCACTGGAGCAGGGTGAGAGTCAGAGAAGCAGACTTGTTACTGTGTGTGTGTTTCATGTTTGTGTGCATGTGTGTGTGAGCTTATGTGTGTGTGGAAGCCAGAGGTTACATCCTGTGGTTTCTTCAATCATTCTCCACTTTTTTTTTCTTTTTGCATGTATGTGTGGTATACATTTGTGTGTATGTGTGTGTGTGTGTCTGCATGTGTGCAGGTGTATTTGTGTGCCTGTGGAGGCATGGACTTCGGGTGTCTTCTTGGCCACTTTCCAGTTCATCTCTGCCTCCCAAGTGCTGGAGTTAGAGGAAGCTGCCATAACTGCCTGGCATTTTTGTAGGTGCTGGGGATCTGAATTCTAGTCTTCACGTTTGCACAGCAAGTGCTCAAGTGCTTTACCTACCGAGCTGTCTCCCCAGCCCTCTAACTTATTTTTATTTTATGTGTATGAGTGTTTTCCTTGTATATGTGTAAGCGCACCCATGCATACAATGCCTGTGGAGGCCAGAAGAAGGAACTGGAGTTATAGATGGTTGTTAGCTGCAATGTGGGTGTTGAGAATCAAACCCAGGTCCTCTGCAGGAGCAGCCAATGTCCTTAACTGTGAAGCCACCTTTCCAGCCCTTCTCTAACTTAATTTTTGAGACAGGGTCTTGCACTGAACCTGGAGCTCCCTCACACTTGCCGATCAGCAAGCTCTAGGGATCCAGCTGTCTCTACCTACAGCACTGGGATTACAGGTGTGTCCCACACTACTGTGGCCAATTATTACATGGGTGCTAGGGCTCAAACTCAGGTCCTCATGCTTATGCAGCAAACACTTTGCCAACTGAGCTGTCTTTCTAGCCCAACCATAGCAATTATTTTTATGTCTTATCTTTTTCTGTATCCTTTGAACCTAGCCAAGGGCCTAGCATTGGTGATTAGTTTGCCAACTAAGCAAAAGCCCAGCAACAGACAGATATTGGAATCCAAGAATGTAGAGATGGGGACTACCAGGGCTCCATTGCTCTAATGTTGGAGTCATCATGGGTTCTTGTTCTGACTCTGCCATTAGGCTGCTGTGTGACCTCTGACAAGACGCTCTCCACTTGTTTAGTGGGTGCAGCTAAAACAAGCTCCGTGTATAGAGCCCTGCTATAGTTTGAGTATGTTTATTCCAAAGATCCATGTGTTGGAGGCTTTGTCTCCAGTGTGGTGAGTTTGGGAGGTGGTGGGGCCTTTGAGAGGTAAGGCTTAGCAGGAAGTACCTAGGTCATTGAGGAAGCTGCTCTTGGAAGGAATTGATAGAGTTCTTGTGGGACCCTGAGTTAGTTCTTGGAGGAGTGAGTTGTTATAAGTGATTCTCATCCCTGTCTTGCACTATTTGGCCCCTCTTGGTCACATGCCCTTCTTTAGAGGGCTCTCTGCCATGAGGTCCTTGCCAAAGCCAGCACCATGCTCCACAGCCTTCAAAACTGTGAGCTTAGTATGCTGTTCGTCTAGGCGTAGTGGCTCCCGCCTATAACACCAGCACTTAGAAGGCAGAGAGAAGGATTGCTGTGTGTTTGAGGCCAGTCGGGTGACATAGCTATCCCCTATCTCGAAAAAATAAATTAACATTAATAAACTTCTTTTCTTATTTAAAGTATTTTTTTGAGACAGGATCTTGCTGTATAGCCCTGGCTGGCCTGGCATTTGCTAAGTAGCTCAGGCTAGCCTTGTACTTGCAGAAAATTTTCTGCTTCAACCTCCTGAGTGCTAGGATTATAGACGTGTGCCACCATGCCCAGCTAATAAACTTGTTTATAAAGTTATCTAGATTCAGTTATTTCATTATAGGGACAGAAAACTGACTAATAAAAGTTACAAACACTACTGAGAAACTTCACACTGATTTTTCTCATTTAATCATCGTCCTTACTTATAAGGGAAATAATATTATGGACTCAAACCCGGGTCTCTCTGACTCCAGAGTCTTATTCTTTATTATGACTATTGTCCTGTACTCACCCAAAGGGCTGTTGTTGGGAGCCTCTTGAAATCATGTGCTCATGCTTTCAAAGCACTGTGCTGAGGCTGGCAGACTTGTATAATTGATCTTAAACCAGCTTATTCATGAGGAGAAAGGCAGCTGAAAGTGATGGATGTGGGGGCTGGAGAGATGGCTCAGCAGTTAAGAGCACTGGCTACTCTTGCAGAAGACCTGGCTTTGAATCCCAGAACCCACATAGCCACTAACAACTGTCCATAGCTCCAGTTCCAGGGGAGCCAATGCCCTCTTCTGTCCTCCTAGGGTATTGCATGACAAGGGTGCACTTACGTGCAGGCATACGCTCATACACAGAAATTTTATTTAAAAAATTAAAAAAGTCATGGATGTTAGCTGTCATTGTCTTACTCTTCCTGAGGACCAATGAGTTGGGCAGCCATGTTTGGTTCTTAAAATTAAATGGCAGCATGGCAAAACAAAATTAGTGTCCAGATGTTTCCAGGTTTTATCCAGATCCTTCTAAACCCCTGAACTTGCCTCAAAAATGAATGAGTAGTGAAGTGTAAGTTGGTACCTTGAAGCATCTCTGGGAACCAGTCCAGTGACTTCTGTTACATTGGGTTGGCCAGTTGTATTTCAGTTATTTCTGCCCTGCTAATGGGGTATCTCAAAAATATTTCTTGTTTTGTGCTGTGGTGATAGATGTCCATGCATAGAATGTAGTTGTTTTCTGCTACTAAATTTGCTTCTGGTTAGTATAATGGAGGAAATCACCTTATCTATATTTAATGATTTTCCATAAAGTGTCTCTTCTCTGCTTCCTGAGTTCTGACATGAGTTGTTGGAATAAGAAGGGAAATTAGCAGTGGGCAAGGTGGTTCAGTGGGTGAAGGTATTTGCTTCCAAGCCTGATGATCTGTGTTCGATTACTGGGACCCACAGGTGGAGGAAGAGAACTGAATCCTGCAGGTTGTCCTCCGACCTCCACATACGTGTTATAGCAACCCTTGTATGCGTGGGGCTGTGCACACGCACAGACAAATACAATAAAAATTGTTAAAGAAGGAAATAAATGATCTACTTCAAATGTACCCATTCCAGGGAAACATGTTTTAAAAAATGCAGACTTCCAACCCCTTCCTCCTTTGAAGCCTCTTGGATCAGAATCCGTTGACCCAGGAAAATATATTTCTTCCCAAGCAACCCAGAATGTTCTGCAATGTTTGGAATCCACTGGTTTCTCCCTTACCACTTGTTTCACAAGTAGGGGGGCTACAGCTCTGGGAGGGGAAGGAGCTTGTTCCAGTCACACTCAGTGCCTCCAGTGAAGTGGAGAGTCCGAGGACCTGGACTAGAATCTAGCTAGACCAGTCATCGTCTAGGGCAAGACACTTCTCTCATGCTCGCCTTCCATACTGTGAGAATAGTGCTGTTGTTACATTGAGAATCCAAAGAGAAAACCCGTGGAAATGCTTTGTCAATTTGTTTTGTGCACATGGAAGAGGTGGAGCCAGTTTGCTCCCTTGTACCCACACTGCCTTTTCAGGGGAACCCTTCAGGGTCCCACTGTGTTGGAGGTAGCCACCAGCCATTTTAAGTGGTTGCTGGTGGATGCCCCAGGCCAGCTGTCACCCAGCTATCTTGTCTGTCACAGGTCAGGAATGGCCACCAACTGGGGGAGCATCTTGCAGGATGAGCAGCAACTGGAAGAGTTGGCACGGCAGGCCATAGACCGGGCCTTGGCTGAGGGCGTGCTGCTGAGGACCTCGCAGAACTCCAGCTCCTCGGATGTAAGCTTCAGTCCGTTCTCACAGCACTGACCATGCTGCTCTGATCCCACCCTTCCAGGTTGGGGACAGCTTCTTTTGGTCAAAGACTGTATCTCTTTGTGTTCGTTTGTTCATTATCTAAAATTGATTTCTAAAAGTATGTAAAGTAAAAAGCAGCATGTTGGAATAAGCAAATTTAAGTCTGGGGTTTGAAGTGTGATTTAGGCAGTTACTTAATCTCTGTCAGCTGGACTTACCTGAAATAGGTAACATTAATAAGACCTAATTAGGTATGTAGGAGAATTGAGAATTTACCTGAAGCACTTTGTCCAGGGAGCTATTATTTAGTAAGATCCCCTAATGTAATTGTTTTGTTCATTTGTTATTTTCTTTTTCTTTTCTTTTTTTTTTTTTTTTTTTTTTTTTTTGAGACAGGGTCTTCCTGAAGCCCCAGCTGGCCTGGAATTCACTGTGTAGACCAGGCTGGCTTCAAACTCAGAGATCTACCTGCCCCTGCCTCCTGAGTACTGGGGACTAAAGAGATTTGACTACATGCCCAGATGCAATTAGAATCTTTTTAACTTTTTTTTTGTCTTTTTGAGACAGGGTCTCCCTGTAGCCCCAGCTGTCCTGAACTCACTATGTAGACCAAGCTGGCCTTGAACTCACAGAGATCCGCCTGCCTCTGCCTCCCTAGTGTTGGGACTAAAGGCATGTGCCACCATGCCCAGCTTCTTTTTAACTTTTTAGAAAATTTTAGCCAGGCGTGGTGGTGCACACCTGTAGTCCCAGCACTGGGGAGGCAGAGGCAGGCAGATCTCTGTGAGTTCAAGGCCAGCCTGGTCTACATAGTGAGTTCCAGGACAGCTGGGGCTATAGGGAGACCCTGTTTCAAAAGACCAAAAAAAATTTTTTTTAAGTGTATGAGTGTTTTGTCTGCATGTTTGTAAGTGTACCCACGTCATGAAATGCTTGATGAGGCCAGAAGAGTGTGTCACATCCCCTGTAACTGGAGTTACAGACAGTTGTTGGCTGCATGTGGGTGCTGGTTATCAAACCCAGGTCCTCAGCAAGAGCAGCCAGGGCTCTCAACTACTGAGCCATCTCTCCAGCCCCAGTGTATCATTTTGAGAAATACTTCATCAGAGATACTTACTGTTGTCCACATATCTTCTGGTGTTGCATGTGATACTTTTTATCATAATTATGAAAGTAACCAGGTTTCCTGTAATTATTAACATTTTATGGGGTTAAAAGAAGTTAATAAAATTGTCACTTCACTGATTTATATCTAGGTCAAATATGCTTGTAATTAATCCCACCTTTTTCCAGTTTCTGAAGGTCTGATGTGTTGAGTTTGTCCTCAAATACAAAATTTTTCTATGGCATTTTCAGTTAACACAATTACAAATTGACGGTACTTTCAGGACAAAGCAGAACCAGACAGTTCCTTTGGTGTTCCCATCACCTGACTCTGACTTTTGCTGCTCTGTCACACTATCTGGCTGAACATTGACACTTTTTAGTTTACAAGTGTAAAGAGACCATCTGGGGTCTGCTTTATTCTGTTGTATAGTATTCCAGTGTGGATGGCTCAACAGTTTAATTTTCTTGCATCCATGGCTAGTTAGGTGACTTCTGATATTCCTGTGACTGCAAGTAGTACAAGGAACATCTGCCTGCCTGCTTGGGTATCTCTCTGTGTTTCTCTAGGATTGATATGTCAGTGTAGAACTGCTGTGGCCAAACCTAAGACTCCCCTCCTTTAGCCAGGCTCAGTGCCTTGTGCCTATAGTCCCAGCACTGAGTGTGTCTGGAGCAGGAGGATTGCTTGAGATCATGAATTTGAGACCTGCTTGGCAGCTTACTGAGATCTCACCTCAAAACAACAGCCAGAGGTGGTGGTACATGCCTTTAATCCCAACACTCAGGAAGCAGAAGCAGGTAGATATCTGAGTTCAAGGCCAGCCTGGTCTACATAGTGAGTTCCAGGTGAGCCAGGGCTATACAGTGAGACTCTGCCTCAAAAAACCAACCAAACAGAAAGTCAGTCAACCAACCTAATAAAAACCAACCACCCCTGCCAACCCAACAGAAACCCCAGCAGCAATAACGACCAAGCAAAAACCAAAGAAAACCCCACTGTCCTTAAAACGAAACAAGAACAAAAAGGAAAACTTGGTCTTGCAGCTGGGTAACATGTTCAGTAATACATTTCATGACTTAAAGTTCAAGTTACAAGAGTTTGGAGTAACCTCCCTTCCACATTCCCTCTCTACCTAGTTCCCCTGTCCAAGGGCAACCTGTGTTTTATCCTTTCTGGTAGTTCGTGCACAACAACTAAATAACTACATATGTATTTCTCTGCTACTTTTTTGTTTGTTGTTTTGAGGCAGGATCTCACTGTGTAGTCCATATCAGCCTCAAACTCGCTGTCCTCCAGCCTTAGTCTCCTGAGTTGCTGGGATTACAGGTGTGCACCACCTCGCCTAGCCCTGCCCCCCTTCATGTACAAAGACATGTCCTAGACTAGCTCTTCTGTACTTTGCTGTTTAGCTCCCTCCCTCCCTTTCTTCCTTTTTCTTTCTCTTAACTCTATACCTTAACACCACCCAACCCATTCTAATGATTAAAGAGGTACCCACGTCTCTTTTCTTTTTCTTTTCTTTTTTTTTTTTTTTTTTTTTTTTTTTTTTTTTTTTGTTTTGTAGACAGGCTGGCCTCAAACTCACAGAGATCTGCCTGCCTCTGCCTCTCAAGTGCTAGGATTAAAGACATGCACAACCATGCCTGGCTACATCTCTTTCTTTAACCCAACTATATTCTTTTTTGTTTCTGTGTGGCTCACATATATTATGGGTGAACAGTCCAGACTCAGGCTGCACTTGCTGAGGCCCAAGTACAGGAGAATGGCCATTACCAAAGGCCAGCTGATGCTGTGGCAGTCAGCCTCAAACTTTGGAAGTAGTTGTTCCAGTTCTGAACCTGAACTTTGTGAAATGTCTGAATCCAAGATAGAATTCTGTTTCCCCTTTCAAGCTTTAGTTTATTCTTTTAAAAATGTATTTATTGGCCCATGCTTTTAATCCCAGAACTTGGAAGACAGACAGATCTCTGAGTTCAAGGCCAACTGGTCTACATAGAGAGTTCCAGGCCACTTGTAGCTACAGGGAGACCTTGTCTCAAGAACACCAAAAAAAAAGAGACCTCCCCCAAATGTATTTATTTTTACTTTATGCATATGAGTGTTATGCCTGCATGTATTTAAGTGTACCCATGCTGTGCAGTGCCCACCGAGGACAGAAGAGGGCAGCAGATCCCTTGGAACTGGAATTACAGAAGGGTATTAGTTTCCTTGTGCGTGCTGGGATTCAAACCTGGGTCTTCTGCAAGAGCAGCTAGTGCTCTTAACTGCTGAGGCATCTCTCCAGCCCCATTGTTTCTTCTTTCAATAAGTAGATATTGTGTGAAAGTTTAATACTTAAGTCTTTCTTGGATTTAATGACGCCTACAAAAGGCACAAATCTTCAATGAGATTTCTTTTTGGGGTGGAGGTAGTTTGAGACAGGGTCTCACTTTGTGGCCTAGGAAATCATGACAATGCTCTGCCTCAGCCTCCTGAGTGCTGGGATTATAGATTTATACCACCTCACCTGGATTTTGGTGAGATGTCTCTTATTTTAAATTTTTATTATTTTCTTTTTTAATTTTTAAACTATTTTTTTATTATAAAAAGTATTTAAGTGTGTGTTTGTGTGTGCGTGTGTGTGTGTTGCGAGTGAACACACACACATGGGTGCAGTACTGGAGTTGCAGGCTGCTGTGAGCCACCTGATGTTGGTGCTGGGAATCAAACTCAGGTCCTCTGGAAGAGGCTTTTAACCACTGAGACATCTCTCCAGCCAAAAAATGTATTATTATTTGCATGTTTGTGTATGTATGGAGACACCCATGTGTCACAGTGCACGTTTGGAGGTCAGAGGACAGCTTTTGGGAGTTGTGCTCACTTCCAACCTTGTTGAGGAGGGGACTCTTTTTTCTGTTGCTGCCTTGTGTACTCCAGGCTAGCTGGCCTGAGAGAGCCAGGAAATTCTGCCTCTGCCTCCCACCTTACCTTAGGATTGCAGATACACATCACCACGATTAGCTGTTTTTGTTTTTGTTTTCTTGAGGCAGGGTCTGTCATCCCTAGTAGCCCCAGCTGACCTGAAACTCACTATGTAGGTAGAGCAGGCTGGCCTCCATCTCACAAAGGTCTGCCTGACTCAGCCTCCCCCTGCTGGGATTAAAAGCGTCCACCACACCAGTTTCACATCTGGCTTTTTTATATGGGTCTTCTAGGTCTTTACCCACTGGCCCATTTCACTGGCTCCCTCAATGAAATTTCTAATCCAGAGAAAAAGACAAGGGGTGAGTTTGTGTGTGTGTGTGAGTTTGTGTGTGAGTGTGTGTGTTTGTGTGTGAGTGTGAGTTTGTGTGTGAGTGTGTGTGTTTGTGTGTGAGTGTGAGTTTGTGTGTGTGGGTGAGTTTCTGTGTGTGTGAGTTTGTGTGTGTGAGTTTGTGTGTGTGTGTGTTTGTGTGAGTGTGTGTGTGTTTGTGAGTGTGTGTTTGTGTATGAGTGTGTGTGAGTGTGTGTTTGAGTGTGAGTTTGTGTGTGAGTGTGTGTGTGTGAGTTTATGTGAGTTTGTGAGTGTGTGTGTGAGTTTGTGTGAGTGTGTGTGTGAGTTTGAGTGTGTGTGTGTGAGTTTGAGTTTGTGTGTTTGTGTGTGTGTGAGTTTGTGTATGTGTGTTTGTGTGTGTTTGTGTGTTTGTGTGTGTTTGAGTGTGTGTGGTGTGTGAGTTTGAGTGTGTGTGTGGTGTGTGTGTGTTTGTGTGTGTGTTTGTGCGTGTGTGGTGTGTGTGTTTGTGTGTGTGTGAGTTTGTGTGTGTGTGGTGTGTGAGTTTGTGTGTGTGTTTGTGTGTGTGTGTTTGTGTGTGTTTGTGAGTTTGTGTGTGTGTGTTTGTGAGTTTGTGTGTGAGTTTGTGTGAGTTTGTGTGTGTGTGTGGTGTGTGTGAGTGTGTGTATGTGTGTGTGTTTGTGTGTGTGTGTTTGTGTGTGTGAGTTTGTGTGTGTGGTGTGTGTGTTTGTGTGTGTGGTGTTTGTGAGTTTGTGTGTGTATGTGTGTGTGTGAGTTTGTGTGTGTGTGAGTGTGTGGTGTGTGTGAGTGTGTGTGTTTGTGTGTGTGGTGTGTGTGTGAGTTTGTGTGTGTGTATGTGTGTTTGTGTGTGTGAGTTTGTGTGTGTGTGAATGTGTGTGTTTGAGTGTGTGTGGTGTGTGTGTTTGTGTGTGTGTGGTGTGTGTGTTTGTGTGTGTGTATGTGTGTGTGTGTGAGTGTGTGTGAGAGTGAGTGTGTGGTGTGTGAGTTTGTGTGTGTGTGTTTGTGTGTGTGTGAGTGTGTGTGTGTGAGTGTGTGTGTATGAGTGTGTGTGTGAGTGTGTGTGAGTTTGAGTGTGTGAGTTTGTGTGTGAGTTTGTGTGTGTGGTGTGTGTGTGAGTTTGTGTGTGTGTGTGTGTGTGGGGTGTGTGTGGGTTGTTGTGTGTGTGTGTGTTTGTGTGAGTTTGAGTGTGTGAGTTTGTGTGTGAGTTTGTGTGTGTGTTTGTGTGTGTGGTGTGTGTGTGAGTTTGTGTGTGTGTGTTTGTGTGTGAGTGTGTGAGTTTGTGTGTGTGTGGTGTGTGGTGAGTGTGTGTGTTTGTGTGTGTGTGTGTGTGTGTGTGTGTGTGTGTGCGTTCTGACTCTTACCAGGCCTGCTCTATACCAGGACATCCTAAACTTGGAAGACTTGGTGAGTCAGCCAAGGTTCTCACCTTTTGAGCTCCATGTGTAGTTGGGGAACATGCCAGAGGACAAAGTTAAGTAATCTCAGTTGAGAGGAAACACGGGCTGTGTGCTGTGCAGTTAATACTCTCATTTATTGACTACTTACTGTGTGTCAGGCACTATTCTAAACCCTCTGGAATTGCTGACTCATTTAACTTTCACCACAACAGAGGTGAAGAAACCACAGCTCAGAAAAGTTAAGTACCTTGACTGAGGTCATTTAAATGGTGGACTAATGGGTAGGGCCAGAGTTAAATCCCAAGGACTAGGGCTCCTAAGACCATGTTCTGCACACCCTCGCTTTGCTGCCTCTCTTGGGACACCTGAAAAAAGTAGTAACTCATTTGATTAGAGGGGTTGGAATGAGGATTCTATACAGACTAGACCTGAGAAGATAAATGGGGGAAAGGAGCAGTATAGCAGAGACCCAGCAGTAAGAAGAGGAAAAAAATATTGTACGAATGATTCCTAAAACTCACATGGTGGCTAACTATTCATAACTCCAGTTCCTGGGGCTCTGATGCCCTCTTCTGGCTTCTGTGAGCAGGCAAAACACTCATACCAAAAAAAAAAAAAAAAAAAAAAAAAAAAAAAAAAAAGAAGAAAGAAAGAAAAAATGCAGCTGAAAGGCAAGGCATGTCAATGGATATAATCAGGTCACCAGACAGCTAAGAGATGTTCAGCAGTGGGCAGAAGGACTGTGACCATCACCCTGTAGATGAGCATAGCAAACCAGCCACATGTGGGCTGAAGATTTGGCACCTGCAGTGTTAGGGAGTGACTTCATATTTTTGAATAGGCAGTATATGAACTGGGTGCAATATTCAAAAGGACATTCAGTGGAGAGGAAGGCTCCTTCCTCCGGGCACTGTTTCCTTCAGAGGCAAGCATCAGTAAACATGGACTGTTATCGTCTACCTAACTTTTTTGTTTTATTTTGTTTGTTTTGTTTGGTCTTTTTGAGACAAGGTCTCCCTGCAGCCCCAGCTTTCCTGAAACTTACTATGTAGACCAGATTGGTTTTAATCTCTTAGCGATCCATCTGCCTCTGCCTCCCTAGTACTGGGATTAAGGTCATAGGTCACCACTCCCAGTTAAAAATATTTTTTTAACCAGCATTTTTGAAAGTCAGGGCCAACGTTTAAAAAAAGGGAGGGGAGCTAGAGAGATGGGTCAGTTGGTAAAGCACCTGCTTAGCAAGCGTGAGAACCTGAGTTGGATCCCAGCATCTATACCAGGCACAGTAGCAGGCACCTATTATCCCAGGGCTGGGAAATAGATGGGATCCCTGAAGTTCATTGGCCAGCCAGTCTAGTTAAATCTATGAGATTCCGGTCCCGTGAGAGACTCTGTCTCAAAGAAAAAAAAAAAAAAAAATCAGATCATCTGACAGCTCCGGCCCATTCTCCTGCATGGTAAAGGTTACCTAGAGGAGCATTCCGGCTGCCCCCTGGATAAGACGCAAGCTCCTTTCATCTCCATCACACCTGCTGGTCTCCCACCACAAAGCAGAATGCTGTTGTCATATACTTGCTATAGTTTTTTTTTTTAATTAAGAGCTGTGTGTTTCTTCATACGTGTGCCTTCATATGGTCAGCAGAGAACAGCTATGTGCTATTAATCCCAAATGCAAATAGGTGTGGTGAATTCTGGATGGGGCAGAAGGAAGTCTTGGCAGAAAAACTCTGGGAATTTTTCAACTCAGATGGGACTTGTTGAGAAAGACAGTTTTCTGGATCTTAAAGCCAAGAAAATACCCAACAGTCAACTCACGTGCACTTTGGGTGTTAGGTCACCCTTTACATGATTTGCAGGAATCCATGCCCCCTGGTTTTTTGAGATAGGCTCTCCCTTTTCTGTATGTATAAAAAGGGGAAAATATATTTGTGAACAAACATATCAGTCTAAATATATATGAGAATACCATTTGTCTCTGGAGAAGGACTAGATGACCCAGGCCAAAATGAGACTAAGACACTTCTCACTATGTCTCTGTCTCTGTCTCTGTCTCTGTCTCTCTCTCTCTCTCTCTCACACACACACACACACACATCTCTCCTCTCTTTCTTCTGAGACATGGTCTCCCTGTAGCATTTGCTGGCCTGGAACTCACTGTGTAGACCAGACCGAACCTGATCTCACAGAGATATGCTCTGCCTGTGCTGGGACTAAAGGCATGTACCACCACACCCAGCTCTCTTAACTTTTGTCTGATGTGTTTGTATTATCTAATTTAAGGTAATATTAAAAACAATAAGTGTATAAATGCCAGGTTCTACCACCATAAATTCATACTACTGTAATGGCAAACTGATATTAACTCAGAGTTAAACTTGGGACTGTTTCATAATTCAAGTCACAAAGTCTGTTTATCATTTCTCATCCCATGTTCTAGTTTGTTTGTGTTAGAAATCTCAGAAGACATTTTCCTCTTCTGGAAACACTATCCTAAATGGAATTTGGATTTATTGACTATGTCAAAGTCAAAGAACCCAGTATGTAACTAAATGCCAGGCCTGTTAGCCTGAATTACCATCTCCAGCACCAGGACAAGGAGGGTGGCACTCCTGGCTTCTACTCAGGGAGCCAGAGTTCACTTCTACTGCTGACCTGCTGGTAGCACTCTTCTTCTACCCCAGCCAGAAGGCCAGGGACCTGGGGTGTGAGCTCCTAACATGAGGATGGACTTGGCTTGGCTTGAATATCAGCCAGCCAGGGAATGGGGTGAGGGTGTGTGTTGAATGTGTGGGAGTAGTTTAGTAACCATCCTGATTCAAATCCCAGTAGCACTCACCAGCTGAATATATTTTTGAACCTATTACTTAACCTCTATCCCAAGTTGTCTGTTAAGTAAGGATAATAATAGTAGTATCTTCCTCACAGAGTTAAATGATGAATCTATCTTAAGTGATTTTTTTTTTTTTTGGGTGAGGGTTTTTTTTTTTTTTTTGGTGTTTTTAAGACAGGGTCTTCCTGTAGCCTCAGCTGGCCTGGAACTCTCTATGTAGACCAGGCTGGCCTCGAACTCACAGAGATCCCTGTGCCTCTGCCTCCCCCCAAGTGCTGGGATTAAAGGCAAGTGCCTCCATGCCCTGTGAGGGTTTTGTTTTATTGTTTGCTTTTTATTTATTTATTTTTAATTCTGTTAAATTAAATTGTCCCAGAGTCTAAAAACTATAGTTGTTCCTTTTCTTCCCTTTTTTCCACTCCTTCCTTCTCGGGAATAACTACTGTCCTGCAGTTGTTCTCAATGCATGTAGGCCAGACTTACATGGTGTTGTGTTTATAGGAAGATACCCCATTTACAGTGGTTCTACCTCTGTCCCACTCTCTCATTGATCAGGTGGTGACCTACGCCCCGTTCACGCTCTTCCCCTCACTAGTCCCCAGTGCTCTGCTGGAGCAGGCCTATGCCGTGCAGATGGACTTCAACCTGCTCGTGGACACTGTCAGCCAGAACTCTGCCTTCCTGGAGCAAACACTGTCTAGGTACTGAGTACTGAGGCCTTCAAGGGCCAGGACTGCTCAAAGCAAGGATTGGGAATACTGGAGAGCCAGGAGGTGTTGCTGTGTCAGCTGACTTGGTGGGGTGGGGGAACGGGTATGCCCTGGGGGAAATAAAAAGTAGGAGTTAGGAAAGTTGGCTTCTAATCCTGGCTCTACTGTTTGTTTATATGGCCTCAGGTCCTTTTCCTTCTCAGTTTCTTCATCTGAAAAGTGATGTTGGCTTAAATACAAGGTTTGGGACTGGAGAGATGGCCCAGCAGTTAAAAACACTTGCTGTTGTGGAGAACCCAGTTTCGTTCCCAGCACCCACATGGTGGCTAACAACCATCTGTTACTCTAGTTCCAGGGGATCTGACACCCTCTTCTGGCCTCTGTGGACATTGCATGTATGTGGTGCACTTACATACATGCAAGCAAAACACTCATGCACATAAAATTTAAAAAAAATAGATAAAATATTAAATCTGTGGTTTCTTCTAGAACTGATATTCTGTGATTCTGTGGTCAATGACCCCTGCTTCATGACAAAAATCTCCATTTGGAATTATGGAAAATGGCCTAGTCTTGGAAGAAAACGGGATAGGGAAGGTTATTTAAAGTCAGATTTCCTACTTCTCCTAAGCAGTGGCCCTTTCTTGTCACCTCAGGCCTCATACCTGTGGGTAGGACAGGATGCAGGCTGGGCCATACCCATGACACGGTGAGCAGCCCCTGAGCAGCTCACCATAGTCAACCCTTTGCCTCTTCCTGATGGAGCTTTTTCCTTTTTCCCCTTCGGGTCCTGAGGCAAGTAAAATTTCTCAGTTTATTCTAGAATTAAGTATAAATTATTTATTTTAGAATTAAATATATATTTTATATATATGATGTATGTATAATTGTATATTTTTGATTAACTTTTTTAAGTAGTTTTTTTTTTAAATTATTTATTATTTTTATTTTATGTGTATGAGTGTTATGCCTGCATGTAAGTAAGTGCACCTGTGCCATGCAATGCCTGCAGAGGACAGAAGAGGCTGTTAGATCACCTGGAACTGGAGTAACAGACAGTTGTTAGCTGCCATGGGGGTGCTGGGATTCGAACCTGGGTCTTCTGCAAGAACAGTCTTTGTTCTTATCCACTGAGCCATCTCTCCAGCCCCTCTTTGATTAACTTTTTAAAATATTTTTTCTTTGGTCTTTTTGAGTTATTTTTTTTATTTTATATGTATGAGTGTATTGCCTGCATGTATGTAAGTGCACCCATGTCGTACAGTGCCAGAGGAGGTCAGAAGAGGGCATCAGATTCTCCTGGAGTTAGTTACAGACAGTTGTTAGCCGCCATATGGGTGCTGGGAATTGAACCCAGGTTCTCTGTAAGAGCAGCCAGTGCTCTTAACCTCTGAGGCATCACTCCAGCCCAGCTTTTCAACAGAAAGCTAGATTATTTTGTGAGAGATCAGATCTTTCTGAAATGTGCCCTTTGCTGAGAGGGTGAAGGCAGGAAGAGTTCGTAATGGAAACCATTGACTTGAGCTAAACATTCAATGGGCTGTGAGCACATGAACCTGTTACCACCTTCCTTCTCAGGACTGGCGGACTCCGTGCTTCTAGAGTATAGGAACTACAGGCAGCCTGGTTTATCCCATTTACACCTGATAATGTGATTATGTGGGAAGCCTGCTCCAAAGAGCATCTCTATAACCCCTGCCTTGTTTGTCCCTTTCTTCTGTCACACACAGACACAGACATAGACACAGACTCGAGTGCACATGCACAGAGAGAGAGAGAGAGAGAGAGAGAGAGAGAGAGAGAGCTAGCCAGCCTAGGTTTGAACAGTGTCACCTCTTCAGAAAAAGGAAAATGTGACCCAGTTTTCCTGGGGGCTCTCCTCCTCACCAAGGACTGAGACAGTCCCTCTGAAAGAACCCACTCTTGGGGAGAACTGGTTGTGGGCAGAGATGCTTCAAGGCAGACTACTTGGCTACCCCTGCTGCTCTGCCACAAGCTCCCTGTAACTAGATAAGTCTACAAGCCTACCTGGACTAAGGTGCACAGTCTGCCTTGAGTCTTGAGAAGCAATAAATGTTGTGTTAATGACCTGTGAACGCCCCCTCCCCCCACCATAGTTCTTCCTAAGGCTCTAGAAAACCTTATGGGGTAGGCCCCTACTACAAGTCACAGCAGCACACTGGGCTAAGATGATGAGCCCACGTAGACCTACCCCCACCGTCATGCAGTTTCTAGCCAAGGAGAGATGAACTTAGTTGTCACACAATCAAGTGAAAATTGCAGCTTCAGTCAGTGCCATAAAGAAGTCCACAGTCTGTAGAGCACCTAGCAGAGGGATCTGACCCTGTTGGTAAAGGCTTCTCCAAGGAATGGCATCAGTGACCTAAGAAGGCCAGGATATTTAGCTTGGGCCTGAAAAGTCTTACTGGTACACAGCATAACTGCCCTGGAGGTTGTCATGGAGGAAGACACTTGTCTTGGAGGTCCCAGAGCACCAGGGAAGCTATAGAGAGCTAACTGTAGGTCAACCAGAAAGTTAGCAACCATCAGAGCTGTTGAGGAACTGTCCAGTTTTTTAAAAAATTCTATGACATTTACTTCACCACAAGCCTGTGATATAAGTACAATGGTCTTCCTCTTCTTAGAGTTGAACAAATTAAGATACAGACAGGTGGTAGGATTCTCTGAGAATTGTTTGATAGTGGGTGGTAGAGCTGGAATTTGAACCCAGATCATCTGACCCCAAAGTGTCTTCTTAGTCATTATTCTCTACTAGATTAGAGTGGGTATTCAAGACCCAGAAAGGGTCCAGGAGACAGTGGGTAGGGACTGCTTGACCTATAGGATCTCACGTAACCTGGAAAATGTTCTGTCTCCTCCTCTAGCACCATCAAAAAGGATGACTATACCGCTCGTCTCTTTGACATCTATAAGCAAGTCCTGAAAGAGGGCATTGCCCAGGTAATGGTCCCTTTTTTCTCCCTTACCTGGAATCTGCCTTTTTTATCCCTGGTGTTTTGTTTTTGTTTGTTTTGTTTTTATCAGAAGAATTGGCCTCAGTCTTGATCTTACAGGGATCTACCTCTGACTCGTCATCCCTGGGCTTACACATCCCAGTGACTGGTCCTGGGATAAGAGAATGATCCTTCTCGATTTGGGAGTATTAGATGGCGCTCCTTATTTCTACATGAAGTGCATGTACCTCTTTACTCTGTGGCTAGACTCTCAGAGTCAGCCCCTGTGCTGGTGTCCTCAGCCTTCAGTTTTCTCCACAGACTGTGTTCCTGGGCCTGAATCGCTCAGACTACATGTTCCAGTGCAGCACAGATGGCTCCCAAGCCCTGAAACAGATTGAAATCAACACTATCTCTGCCAGCTTCGGGGGACTGGCCTCCCGGACTCCAGCTGTGCACAGGTGGGGTCCTGGGGCAGCCATAGGGCACACCTGTGGGGAATGACCTGATGGGCTTAGAGTCAGTGGCTAAGCTAGGGATCTCCTACCATGACTGCTTTCCTGGGCCCTAGATCATGTTTTCTTCACACCTCCATCTTGCTCTCCACAGCAGTTTTCAACTTGTAATCAGATCTTATTGTATGTCAGGGAAGAAGGGACTTCATGGCTTATCTAGGCCTGTCCCTCTGTTGTGCTAGTTACCTTCAAGGGGCCTCTGATAGGAAGGGCTTGACATAGCTGAGGACCTGAAAACAGTTTGAAGCCCAAAGCAGGAGCTTCCGTCTGAGAGCTGGCCACAATAGGAGCCTTCTTAGCAGGGATGCTCCAGATGCTGTGCGTCCGTGTAGTCAGCTCCAGATGCTGTGCGTCTGTGTAGTCAGCTCCAGATGCTGTGCGTCCACATAGTCTGCAGCACGTAGTCTGCAGCAGGAGTCCAGATAGCACCTAGCGCCCAAGTAAGGGACTTGTGTTCCCTTGGAAACTGAGTTGGGGGTAGAGTGGTGACTGTCTCAGGGTTCCTCAGGACCTGTTCTTCAAGGTAGAAGGTGAGGGCAACTCAGCATATTCCGGATAAAGAAAACGCCCAGGGGTGTGATGGTAAAGGAGCTCCCAAGCACTCAGCCGATTCTCAGAGTCATGTTCGTCTATGTATCTGTGAGGTCATGGGCAGAGGGTTCTTCTGCTCCTTCCAGTCACTGAGCATCTCTTTTTTCCAACAGACATGTTCTCAGTGTCCTAGGTAAGACCGAAGAAGCTGCCAAGATCCTCTCCAACAATCCCAGCAAGGGACTGGCCCTGGGGATCGCCAAAGCCTGGGAGCTATATGGCTCAGCCAGGTAAGAATGTGAAAAGATGACATCAGTACCTGCTTTAGCATCAGCATTTGTGGGAGGGGCAGCTTCTCATTTTTTAGGAAATGAAGGGATTTTTCTAAGAATAGAAATTTAGACCTTTAAGCACCAAAATTATTTTAAAGGAGTTTTGGGCTTTCTTCTAAAATAAGAGGTGCTGCCAGGTGTGGTGGTGCACACCTTTAATCCCAGCCCTTCGGAGGCAGAGGCAGGTGAATCTCTGTGAGTTCAAGGCCAGCCTGGTCTACATAGTGAGTTCCAGGTCAGCTGAGGCTACAGGGAGATCCTGTCTCAAAAAGACCAAAAAAAAAGAAAAGATGCTGACTCTAACATACCGTTTTCTGTTGACTGGAGGTCATTATGATGGCTGTCCATGATTTCATCATGTCCTCTAATGCAGTGGTGCCACCTAGGGTTGGAAGGGCATATTCCAGGCCCTTGACTTGCCCCAAGGGGCTTTAAGTTCTATTTTCTCTGTAATATTCCCGGTCTGTTTCCCAAACATCACCGCTTTTTACTGCTGTCAGTGTGCTTGAATTTGGAATTCTCTACTGCCATCCCCTTGACTCCTGATTTGCTGTGTTTTGGAAAAGCAATAATCCTGGTTGTTAGAGTCATGTCTAAAGAGTTCCAGGACCTCTTTGATGAGTAAATGCGTCAGTTTTGATCTGGAGATTTTATGGTGTCCATTTTAACTGCTTAGAAGCATTTTCTTTGCCTTCTTCCTATTTCTCAACCATGTTCCAGATATATGAAGATGCTAGATAGTTAAGGGGCCACTACTAAAGCTATTCAGTGTTAATATAGTACTGATAGTTCTGCCTTAAGGAGCACTTACCAGTTTACATACAGGATTTCATTGAATTCTCAGAACAGTTGCTTTGAGGTAGTACTGTTCCTCTTTCCCATTTCACAGATAAGGAAACTGAGGTTCAGAGAAATGAAGTGACTTGGTTCAAAGTCAAATGGTGAGTTAGCAGTAGAGCCCAGTATTAAGTTCCTTCTAGAACGTGCATATGTAATAACACTGTTGCCTTTAAGAGCCTTTCTGGGCTTGCTAAGCCTCACTAAGCTCCAAGAAACCTCAAACTCTGAACACTTAGAAGTCTTTAGGCAAGCAGTGTGTCAAGTAGAACTCTTGGCTAGGTTTCATTTTAAGAAAATGAAGCCAGAAGATGGATTCCCCTGAGAAACTGCCAATGGACAAACTGTACTGGGCGTCTCCTGCCAGGCTGAGAGCAAATCCTCCTGTGCCCAGGGTCAGGCTCTGGTGGAAAAGAGCTCTGTGGCTACTGAGCCCGTGGTGGTGTCACCCACTATGAGGCTGCTAGGCTCCCCTGCTGGACCTACTACCATGGCAGTCCTTTTCTTTTCTCTGAGCTTTTCCCCTTATTTGTAAGGCATCGATGATACTGATTACTAGAGGGGTAGAAATAAAAATTAAAAGACATCATGCCGCTGAAAAAAATGCTTTAAAACTGTCAGTTTGATGAAGTCAGTAATAATAATAGTAAAACTAAAAATTAAATAGCTACCATTGAATAAGTAGCAGTTTTATTTTACATTCAGTGTAAACTGAAGGTCAGAAAAGATTAATTAATAATTTTCCTGAATCGAACCCAGGTCCTCTGTAAGAGCAGACAGCACTCTTAACTGCTGAGCCATCTCTCCAGCCCCTCTTATTTGCTTTTTTGAGTAGGGTCCTGCTATGTAACCTAGATTGACCTTGAACTCATAGTAATCCTCCTGACTCAGTCTCCAAGTAGGGAGACTGTAGGCATGTACCACTACTCCTGATTATAAAATTATGATTTCAGTTTAGACAAACTCTTTCAAAACATAGGGCCTAACTGGCAGGATGGCTCAGAGGTTAAGAGTGCTTCCAACACCCTCTTCTGGTCACCATAGGCATCTGCACATACGCGGTGTACATTCAGACAATTATACCTACACATACAATTACGCCTACACATAAATAAAAATAAAGGCAAATCTTTAAAACAAGAAAAACATTGGGCTTATAGTTAGAATGAGTAGAATAAAAAGGGAGATTCTTGATGTTAAAAGATTGGGAAGTATGATCTTATTAACATTTCTATTTTATAGACGAGGCAATCAGGACTCAGGGAAAGAAACTGACCTGCTCAGGGCATACCACTGGCAAAGCGACCACTAAGACTATTGGGTCCTCTCCCTAAACCAGCAGGCAATTGCCACTTTGCTTTCCTCAGCTGACAGCTTTCTGTGTCCTGCTGGGTCCAGACTGATAGGTAGAGAATGGGCGGGAGTGAGTGGCACGGATGGAGGAGGCACGAGCAGATGGATGAGGCACGGAGGCTCAGATGGAATTCTCAGCGGTACACAGATTTATTTCACACGGGGCACCTTTCCCTCGGGAAGGGAAAGATGTCGGTGGAGGGAAAGAGGGAAGGGAAGGGAAGGGAAGGGAGGGGAGGGGAGGGAAGGGAAGGGGAGTCCACGAAGGGAAAGATGTCCGCCCACAGGTTGTGAGCTGGGACTTTACATATGGGGGCTTTAGGGTGTGGAATCAGGGAGGGGGAAGCAGGTAGGTTTAGGGTGTGGAAGTGTTTACTTTTTCCCTCTTAAGATGAGAGAAAAACAGCTTCTAAAATCTCTGGTTATCAGGTAGAATCTGCTTATCTTTGGAGGTCAGAGGAAAGACAGGCTGCTTCTCAGCAGAGTTTGTTTCCCTTGACTTCAAAGGTCAAGGTGAGGTCCCTGTTGGGGAGGGAGGGAACTGCTATTTGGAACCCTAACACAGACTGCTAAGAACTGCAGCTGGTGGGAGACAGAATGTGATTCTGGGCCTGGCTCCCACAAGAGCATGCAACTCCATTTGCCTCCAGCCTCTAGCCTTCTTCCTCTACCTGCACCAGGTGCCCCCCACCCTCACGCCTACCCATGAACAGAATAGTTCTGGGTACAAAATGAAGAGCAAGGCCTTTGGCCTTCAGGCCTCTCAGGGCAAGGTGGCCTTTGGAGAACACCACTTCTGCTTTGTCTTCCAGGTTCCAGATCAAAGTGAAGACTCTTCTTAAATGTCATGTCTGACCTCTTCAGACTTCAAGCAGGCTGGGAGAGTATTTGGGCAGGCGAACCAAGTTTAGATTCAGAGACTCAGCTAAGGTTGGGCAAAACAAGATAGATAAGAAGTCAAGGACAGGAGTTTAGAAATACTTAGCACCCTAGGCCAAAGTAGCAAGATGCCCCAGGCACAGAACAATACAGCTATAAGCAGAGAGGGAGTCTGGTACTGAAAACATTGGCCTTATGAGTCTGGTGGGGGTGTGGGGGAAGGGCAGGTCTATATTTAATACTGAAAATATCTTAACTGGCAGCTGACAGTTCTCTGGCATAAACTTTTTTCTGAGTCTTCAAGTCCCTGCTTCTTTAAGAAACTTGTGGATAAACAGAGGAACAGGCCCAGTAAGCCTTAGTGATTCTATTAACACTATGAGACAAATACGGCCCTGTGGACATCACAGAGATGTTGAGTGGTCTCTAGAGATGATGCTTGTTTGTAGTTGGCTCTGTAAGCTTCCATTTGGTTCTTGTTCTTTTCATTTAAGAACTGTCCTCTTGTATTTTATCTTTTACAATCTGATAGCAGAGTCCTTAGCACCTGACCTCCAGTTCTGTTCATTTATAAAATATTCCTCAGTGTTTCCTCTTCCAGATAGATTTTTAATCCCTGTTAGGTTTTGTTTTTGTTTTGTTGAGACGGGGTCTCACGTAGCCCAGGCCGGTCTTGAACTGCTGATGATCCTCCTGCCTTTACCTCTTGCATGCTAGGATTATAGAAGTGTGCTACAACACCTATCTTAAGGGTGGGGCGGAAACCCTTTTGGTTTTTTTAGATGGTTTTTAAATAGAAATTTTAATTTGTTCAGAAAATTGACATCATTATGATAGTTCATTTACCGCTAGAGAATGGTCAGAGATACTTCCATTTTTTTCCCCCAAATTGCTCATTTTCAGAAAATGTGTTGTTGCCCTTTACTAAGTGAGCTTTTCAATTTGAGGTAACATCTGCTTTTACAGGAAGCTGTTCTCTTATGAAAACTCAAGTTTTCATGCTTGCACGTCAAGTATTTTACTACCCATAGTGTAGGAATTACAGCTCTATATCACTAGGCCCTACTGGGAAGCTGTGTTCTTCTCATTCCTGAAGGGAAGTGGGGGGCATAGCAGCCTCTGGTCACCTGTGCTCTTTCTCAGTGCTGTGGTGCTATTGATTGCTCAAGAGAAGGAAAGGAACATATTCGACCAGCGTGCCATAGAGAATGAGCTCCTGGACAGGTAAGTAAAGGAAGAGATAGAGCCTTAGGTATCCCAGACTGACCTTGATAGGGCTACCTAAGGCGCTATCTCAGGCGTGGTACCAGAGGGTGGGCCATTCAAAACAGCATCCATTACCTTTGATTTTCCTTCATCTTTCCCAGGAACATCCATGTAATTCGGCGAAGATTCGAAGATGTCTCTGAAAGGGGGTCTCTAGACCAGAACCGAAGGCTGTTTATGTAAGCATCCCCAAGGACCCACTAGACGGCTGCATTATGAAACTCTCCTGACACCCTCTTTTACTAAATGAGCTTTTCTTCTGGGGAATGTGATGACTTGTTTTCTTCTCTCCTGATTTCTGAAATAACTCATCTAGGAAATTTTGGAGTCGACTAGCCAAGCTCTGCTTCTAAAGGGATGTATCAGAGCTGTTGGTCTTCTGGATGAGAACATCATCCTTAAAGATAATCTTGGTTTGCATATGCCTCTGAGGTCTCAAAAGTTTTTGCCCTTCTTCATGGCTGGTCCAGACAGGCATGAGCAGTTTGGGCTGGGCAGTCAGGGAGGCAGGCTTATTTTGATTGTTGTTTTCTGAGCTGAATACCGGATTTGTCTTCTAATCTAGGCTCTATCCTTCTCTCTCTGGACCATCATACAGTGCCTTAGTTCTACATATTTGGGTGGCATTGCAGCTTACATAGTTAAATCTGGATCTTTGTCACTGTTACAGTTAAGAACCTAGCCAGGTATAGTGACACATGCCTATAATACATAGCATGTGGTGGAAGCAGGAGGATCAGGGATCATTCTCTGGTGCATAGTGAATCAAGGTAAAGTCAGTCTGAACTACCTAAGGCTCTATCTCAAAACACAAATGAACAAACAGAAAGCTTAAGAACCTCCACAGAATTTTGCAATCCCATTTATGAAATTTCAAAATTTGCTATTACCATAACAAAGTAGCTAGTTTACTTTCTAGATAAACTAGATAATATCAAATGGGTCAAAGGAAAGAGAAATTATCTTCGTTAGACTCAGACTTTTGAACACCTTCATCACCACTTTAAGAACTCTTCATCTGGTTTCAGCTCCTTTAAGCAGTGGAAATGCAGTTCTGTTTTGCTAAGCTTGGTGATATGATTCTTTCACTTGGTAATTTGGCACTCACTTGTTTTTTAATATATGTATGCTCTTCTTTCCCCATTGCTTTCTTAAAATGACTCTAGATCCAGAATATTCTAAAACATTGTGTGCTGTGCACCTGTGTTTTTAATAGAAATACTATAGTAGTAGAAGTGTGATTTCTACTTTCTCTGATTCCAGTGAACCCCTGTCCCAGGTTCCCCTATGGACTGTCAAATACGTTTTGATGTACCCTGAAATAGACAGAGCCCCTGAAACACACCAGTTACAACTTTACTCAGAAGGCCCTTTCCTCTTATGTTCCAGGGAAGGCCAGGAAGTTGCTGTGGTTTACTTCCGGGATGGCTACATGCCAAGTCAGTATAATCCACAGGTTGGTATTTTCTATTAGACCATTCTCTGCCTCTAGAGACTCTCAGAGCCCCACAGAAACCAGCTTAGGCGTCACAACTGGGCTTCTTCTGAGTCTAGCTTTACTTCTTCCTCAGGGGATGACGTCCTGCTGGAAACTCTTTTCCTCCTGCAGGCTTTCTGTTACCTCTCACTCTACACTGGCTTTTAGGATCTGAATCCTCAGGAGTCCATCGTAGTGTTTTAGCCATCCACACATTTTCCAGAGCTATGCTGGCAAATATTTCTAAAAAGAGCCTCAATTTATAGCATTTGTTGATTTCCATAGTGTAATTTTTTTGCGGGGGGGGTCTTTTTGAAGCAGGGTCTCCCTGTAGCCCCAGCTGTCCTGGAACTCACTATGTAGACCAGGCTGGCCTTGAACTCAGAGAGATCTGCCTGTCTCTACCTCCCAAGTGCTGGGACTACAGGCGTGCATCACCACGCCTGGCAGTGTAATTCTTTAAATATGTATTTTTAATTATGTGTATGTGTGTATGTGTATAATTATGTGTGTGTCTTTGTGTGTGAATGTGTATGTGAGTGCAAGTGCCCTCAGAAACCAGAAACATCGGATTCCCTAGGAGCTGGAGTTACAGGCAGTTGTGAACCATCCAAACTGGTTGCTGGGAACCACTGAGCCATCTTTCCAGCCCTCCAAAGTGTGTAATTTTGAGCTACCCGATTTAATATCTGAACAAAAAACTGGAAACAGATGCATATACAGCCAGCCCCCACGAGCTGATGTTAGCCAGCCCTAGCACACCACTGATCAAAAATTTTCTTCCTTTCTTTCCTTCCTTCTTTCTTTTTACTTTCCTTTCTTCTTTCCTTCCTTCCCTTCTTCTTCCCGTCCCTCCCTCCTTCCCTTTATCCTTCCCTTTCTTCCTTCTTTTTCTCCCTCTTCCCTCCCTGTCTCCCCCCCTTTTTTTTTCCTTCCCTTTCCTGGTTTTTTTGTTGTTTGGATGTTTGTTTGTGGCTTTTTCTATGGGTCTCACTCTGGAGCCCAGACTGCCTTGAAACTCCCTATGTAGCCTAGGCTAGCCTCAAACTCATAGCAGTCTCCTACGTGCTGGGCTTCACTGGCCATGTCTTCTTTATCTCTGCTTTATCTGAGTCAGAAAGTTTTGCTCTTTATGCTCACGCAGCCCTGGTGATGCCACCTCAACTTGCTCTCTTACCATGTAGTTTCAGAATTTCTTTCCACATCATTTTATTTAACTCTTACAACCACCATGTGAGACTTATAATTATTCCCATTATACAGATGGGGAAACCAAGGTTTGGAACATGTACAGGCTTGTCTAAACTCCTATAGGAATTTCTGAGGCTTTCTGAGTAGCAGGCTAGTATATTCCTGGCATGCTATTCTTGTCTCCTGCTGTTACCATCTATGCCATGGAAAGGCTTCAAAGCCTTGCTTTCACTTGGGATAAAGAAGGAGATAAGTGGCTGGGCGTGGTGGCGTACGCCTTTAATCCCAGCACTCAGGAGGCTGAGGCAGGCGGATCTCTGTGAGTTCAAGGACAGCCTGGGGCTACTGGGAGACCCTGTCTCAAAAAAGACAAAAAAAAAAGAAGGAGATAAGCTAGGAAATACCCTGGGCAGTGAGCTGGGAGTCATGAGACTCACTTTGCCTCTGCTTGACCATGAGGAGTAACTCTTTCCCACCTTTCTGGGTCTGTTTCTTGAAAATAAAGGGACCTCCTTCTGGATTTGCAGTTCATTTAGGGTTCTTTGGGGCTGAGCTCTGTATGGAAGTGACAGCTGTAAGCAAAGTGCTTTTGTCTTTAGGGTGAGAAGTGTTAGAAACTTGCTGACTAGAGAAGAAATTGTCTCCTAAGAAAATAGATCTAAAATTCAGAACAGGGAGATGGAGAAACAGGTCGAAGTAGACTGAAAGAGGAGAGGATGAACTAACCAAGAAAGTGGTGGATATAATGAAATGAACTGAGGAACTCACCTGCATTTAGAACATGCAGATCTCCAGGGCTTAGTGACTTGCTGGATGATTCTGAGCAAGTGCTCATTTTTAAATTTTTCTTTTTATATCTGAGTATATTGCCTGAATGTATGTAAGTGCACCCATGTTGTGCAAGGCTGTAGAGGCCAAGGTCAGGTCCTTGGAACTGGAGTTACAGAGGATTGTTAGCTGCTATATGGATGCTGGGAACTGAACCCAGATCCTCTGGAAGAGCAGCCAGTGCTCTTAACTGCTGAGCTATCTCTCCAGCCCCCTGGGCAAGTGTTCTTGTGTTAAAGTTTTGCTTTCTCTGCTTCTGACAGACATATGGGTGTTTCTTCAGGCTTATCTTGTGTTCTGGGCATCTGTGACTTTGCCTGGAACACCAGACCAGTAGTTAGATGACTGGGATTGTTGGTGAAGATCAGGCAAAGATACTGCACTGGACAGCACTGGGTAGGGACAGGTTGTGCCTCTTGGGCCTTAGCCTTGATCTAGGTATGGGCAGGTTGCTGTGATCTGAACAAGGACAACTTTCTCCCTGGGGCCTGAGAATGGGGATTAGAGCTGGGTGGCATGAACTTCTAAGATTTCCTTGCTTTTTGTAGTCCAAGCTCCTAACATAACAGATTGTTCATCCTGTGATTAGCCACCTGCAAGCCTTTGTTTATATTCTTCTGCTTGCCTGAGGACCCAGTCTTCACTCGGTCTTACCTGTCAGACTGATTATTGTTAGGCCATTACTCAAACTTCACTATACAGAGCAACAATAACAAATATTTTCTGAGTATCCATGAAGTGCCCAGAGCTGCATTTCTGTGGGGCTATAGCAGAGCACAAGGCAGACACCAAGGAGCTGGTTCTTCTAGGGAGCACAGTCTGGTCAGGGAGATGACTATCAGAAAGAAAAGTAGACAAATGATTTTGGAGTTTTATTGTTTATTTTATTTTGATGTCTATGAGTGTCTTACCTACATGTATGTAAATGCATCACATGTGTGCAATGCCTGTGGAGACCAGAAGAAGGCATTGGATCCCCTGGAACTGAAGTTATTGATGGCTGTTAGCTACCATGTGGGTGCTGGGAACCAAACTGAGGTCCTTTGCCAGAGCAGCCAGTGCTCTTAACTGCTGAGCCATCTCCCCAGCCCTTGTTATGTTTATTGAGACAGATTCTCACCCTATAGCCCAGGATGGCCTGGAACTCACTGTTGTAGCTAGGACAGGCTTTGAGCTTGAGATCCTCCTACTTTAACCATTGAAGTGTTAGAATTACAAGTGTGTAACACCACAGCCAGCTTGAAAATTGAGGGGTAACTGCTTTGACTGAAAGAACAGGATGAAAAGATGCTGCAGTACAGGGAAGGCCACATTAAATAGAACAGTTAGGGAAGGGTTCTCTGGGTAAAGGCGACTGAAACAAGACTCAAGGATAAGAAAGATCTAGCCATCCATGGGAAAAAGCCAAAAGGAAGAGACTTTCAGGCAGAGGAAAAACAGTAAATAAAAAGGCCCCAAAGAAGCGGGGAAATTTGAGTATTTACAGGCCTGTATGCTAGAATGTAGAGTCAGGAGTTACTGTGTATATGGGGTGGGCATCATGGTAACAAATTTGGATTTTATTTGATAAAAGGCAAAAGATTATATGATTAAGCAGAATTTTGAGTGTTGGATTTTATCTGGAGTACAATGAAAACCTAAGCTGATAAACAAATGTCCCATGCCCTTCTAACCTCATCCAGCCAGGTATAGTGGCACGTGCTTATAATCCCTGCACTCAGGAAGCTGGAGCGGGAAGATTGCAAATCCCAGCTCAGTCTAGGCTCTGTAAGGAGACTTTGCCTCAAAAAATAAGGAGAAATTTCCCAACACTCAGATAAATTTTCCTCCTTAGTCATTTTCCCTTTAATTATAGACATGTGTGCTAGCTTGTAGCTCCCTAAAGTCCGGAATCCTGGAGATCAAGAGGTCAGACCTGCCTCTCAAGGATGTTGAAATGATAATCAGTTTGAAGATTTAAAAGCACAGTATCTGGCACCTGCTCAGAAAAGGTCATCCAAAGTGAAATAAAGTAGAATTCCTTTCATCTTCTTGTCTCTGCAGAACTGGGAAGCACGCCTACTGATGGAGAGGTCATGTGCTGTCAAGTGCCCAGATATTGCCACCCAGCTGGCTGGGACTAAGAAGGTGCAGCAGGAACTGAGCAGGGTGGGCCTGCTGGAGGTGCTGCTCCCTGGCCAGCCTGAGGCTGTGGCTCACCTGCGTGCCACCTTTGCTGGCCTCTATTCACTGGACATGGTATGTAGGTAGCCTATCTCTCCTGCCATAGGCCTACATAGCAGAGACCTGGACCCAAAAGTGTTGGGGAGGGTACAGCTGGTATTGTAGTTGGCACTCTGTCCCTAATGCTCTGGAGAACCCCTCGGGGCTAGAATCTATTATAAACGCCCTCAGCAATGATGGTGATAGGGATAGAAACCAGGGAAAGTGACTAAGGCAAATAGGAAGAATTAAAGAATATCTCTACCCACTTTCCAGGGTCTTTGCTGCAGAGCCCTGAAAAGTCTGTTAATCCTATATTTAGTGCTGCAAGGGAGTTAAAGGTCCCATCTAGACCAAAGTGTCTAGCCTAAAGGAATTTATAGCTGTTCCCCTTTCTGTTCTCCCCCGGATGCTATTCTGCATGACCAGTAAGGACCTCAGCTGTCTCTTTGGCTTGAATGCTAGTGACTACTTTATGCCTCCTCTCAGGGTGAAGAAGGTGACCAGGCCATTGCTGAGGCCCTTGCTGCCCCTAGCCGCTTTGTGCTGAAGCCCCAGAGAGAGGGTGGAGGTAGGTAGATCTCCTCTGCAGAACTGCTCAGTAAAAAGGGTTACAAGGTTGTTGCCAGTGCTTACTGGCACTTGATGTGGTCACAGTACTAGGCTTGGTGGTACAAGAGAAAGCAACAATCCCAGCACAGAGCATAGCTCCAGCACCCTGGGACCAAGTGCTATGGAGTACAAGGGGATCTGAAGAACAGCACTGGAGAATTTGGACAAGTTTATTCTGTGGTTCCTATGGGAAGATGATAGGGAAACAGGGTGGGGCATTCTAGTAAATTTAAGGAATACATGGTCATCTTCCTATTTACTTTGAAATTCCCTGGGGGCAGGGATCATATCTGCTTCACAGACAGGGTTTTTCATATGAGTCTTAAGGGATAGGTGGGAGTTTCCCAGAGAGAAAAGGGGGAAGAACATTCTAAACTGAAGGCCATTTAAGCAAAGGCAGTAAGCCATAAAAGTATGGACTATGTAGACGTTAATGAGAAACTGCTGAGGATGGAGTTGGAAATAGGAAGCAGGAATTTGGGCTGGATGATTGTTTGAGACCTCATTATAAAGGGCACTGAAAATACTTCAGGGACTTGAGGCCTGGGAGTTGCCTCAGTCAATAAGTACCCACATAAAAGTCAGACATGGTGGCATGCATCTGGAACCCTAATGCTGCAGGGGCAGATATGTGGATCATGGGGGCTGGCTGGCCAGCCAGTCTAGCCAAAACAGTGATCTCCAGGTTCAGTTAGAGACCCTGTCTCAAAAAAATAAGGTTGAAGGCCAGGTGTGGTGGCACATGCCTTTAATCCCAGCCAAGGCAGACAGAGCTCTATGAGTTCCAGGCCGGCCTGTTCTACATAGTGAATTGCAGGCCAACCAGAGCTACATAGTGAGACCCTGTCTCAAATAAGTAAGGAAATAAATAACATTTTAAAATAAAGTGAAGAGCAATAGAGGACGGACTCTGATGTTGACCTCTTTCCTCCACATGCTCATACATAGGTGAGCATACTCAACATAGACAGGTACACATATACACAAACATTTTACAAAATTGTATTTTATCATAAGAGTAGGAAGCCCTTAGAGTTGTAATTAGGGAAGGAACACACAATCTATTCAGGATCCAAGCGGTTAGCAGTGACGAAATCTTAGTATTTTAGCCATTAAGACTGAGGGGAGATATTGTTGACAGAGACCGTGGAAGGAGGCTTGTACTATTTATTGTTCAAAGACCAATAGAGTCCCAAGTTACTGACAATGTGGATCATAGACTGGAGAGTTAGTGATATAGGTCATGGGGAGAGAGGAGTTAAATAGGACTCAGGGATGCCTTTCATCTGGCTAGAAGTAGAAAGGTTCAGGAAAAGCAAGTTCAGGCAGAAATAGACTTCTGTTAGCACATGCTGAGTTTTTTTTGGGGGGGGGGCTATGGGGTATGTCATGTCTAGAGAAGAGAGCTTGAGTTAAAGATTTGGGACTCAACTTAGAGGTTATTGATTAAGCCTCAGGAATAGAAGTTATCTCCCTGACAGAAGACACATGATGGAGAGAGCAGGGTAGAGAACCAATTCCTGGAGAACCCCAACATCTTTATGTATATGTGTGTAGTATATATATGTTTGTGTGTTTGTGCCTTTGTGGGTACATGTGCCTGTCTGCATACATGTAGATGCCAGAGATTGATGTCAGGCTGTTCCTCTGTTGCCCTCCACATCATTATCGTCATCACCATCATCATGATGTTGAAACAGGGTTTCTCATTGAACCTGGAACTCACCACTTGGCTAGATTGCCTGGCCAGCAAGCTCTGGGGATCCACTTATCTCTGTCCCCCACTTCTCAGCCCTAGATGCATGCACAGCAAGCACTTTAAGGACTGAGCCATCTCTCCAGCCCCAGAGAACCCCAACATTTAAGAAGATAAGGAACTAGTAATGATAGCTGAGGAGAAACATCCATAGACAGCTAGGGGCGAATCAAGCGGGAAAATGTGGTGGCAGGTGTGTGTAGCGGCTTTTCTGTCAAGGCAATCTTTCCTTCTCAGAAGCATATTGCTCCGGGTCCAGAGTGACTGGCCATTTTTGTTGCAGGTAACAACCTGTACGGGGAGGAAATGGTACAAGCTCTGGAGCAGCTGAAGGACACCGAGGAGAGGGCCTCCTACATCCTCATGGAGAAGATTGAACCTGAGCCTTTTGGGAATTGTCTGCTACGGGCTGGAAGCCCTGCCCAAGTAGTCCAGTGCATCTCAGAGCTGGGTATCTTTGGGGTCTATGTCAGGTGAGCTGGTGGGGAGGAGCTCCTTCCACTACTTCCCTGCAAGAGTGCCAGCCAAGAAGGCCTCGAAGGAACCCTGGACAGCCATGAGTCTGGGCTTTAGTCTCAGTGCTGCCGATCCTTAGCTTTATTATCTGTGTTTTTGTTTTGTTTTGTTTTTAATTGTTAAGTGAGGCCAAGGACCTAAGACCTGCCCACCTCTAGGGCTAACAAGTGAAGCCCAGCTTCTTTACAACGATAAAGGAAATTACATGTAGTACAAGAGGGTTGAGAAGATGAGGTCTGATACGCAGGAATAGGAGGAGACTGTGGAGTAAGAAAGTTTGGATCCAACTCTAAAATTCAAAAGGATTCCAGAGAAAAGTGATTGGTCAACTAGAGGGTAATGAAGGGCTTTGAAATGCTGAATAGCCCCTGGGATTGGATTTGAATACTAAGAATCAGGAAGAGAGGACTTGGGAATTTGAAAAGAACAAGGCCTTCATGTCACTTCTGCAAAACACTTCAAGATCAGGGCAAGGTCGAGACACCAGGTGCTAGTGTGCCCCCCACCCCCAGAGCCTTCCCTCTGTACTGCCTCTCTAACCACTTAGTGTCTTTGCCTGCCACTTCCCCCACCCCTACTCCCAACTCCACCACATCCACCTTGAGAGGTAAAGGGAGTTTATAGTTCAGGACATAAAATGTGAGTGTGAATCATGCTAAGAGATTTGTTTTATTTAATCCAACACCACCACATCCACCTTGAGAGGTAAAGGGAATTTATAGTTCAGGACATAAAATGTGAGTGTGAATCATGCTAAGAGATTTGTTTTATTTAATCCTATGACCATCTTATAAGAGGTATGCCAATTTTAAATGAAGGAAGTTGATGTTGAGGCAGATTAGGGAGCTTAGCATGCAAATCAAAATCTGTCTCTAAAGTCCTACATTTCTTAGATGTAGTCACTTACCTATCCCCCACTCAGCTGGAACCAGGAAAAGTCCTAAGTTTCCTAATGTGTGCCTCCTGACCCTATTTCTACAGACAGGGAAAGACGCTCGTGATGAACAAGCACGTGGGGCATCTGCTTCGAACCAAAGCCATTGAACACGCAGATGGAGGCGTGGCAGCAGGAGTGGCAGTCCTGGACAACCCATACCCTGTGTGAGAGCACAGCCTGGACTCCACTGAAGACGCTCTATCCCCTGTACTTGTCATTCCTCTCCTAGCCCTCCTGGGGGGCTGCCCCGTTCCTGCTGTAGGAGAACTTGTCTCTACCAGAGACGTTCAGGATGTTCAGGGAAGGGAAATCCCTGCATACCCTCCCTCAGCTCTCCATCTGAGGACCAGAAAAGCTGTGTTTCCCTTAGAAGAGAGGACACATCTTTAGAGTGTGGGAAGCTGCTCTGAGGTAAAGGCCCATAAACTCTGCATACCTCCATTCTCATTAGCCTTTCCAGCAGGTTCCAGTGCCTGACTAGGGGTAGGACTGAGTGATAGAAGGAAGGGGGTGGAAGGACATAGACTTGCCCCCAGCTCTGCCTTAAATAAAACAATGCTGATTCAATAATTCATTGCTTTGTGCACTGAGGGGAGGAGGTCTGCCCACTTAAGTTGGATATGGGGAGAGGGTTGTATTCAGGATCCCTAGTCTCAGACCCCATGGATGAGATCCTGAAGTTCTAATTATTAGTCACCTGCTAATGCTCCAAAGGATCATAGGGAAGAGAGAGGGTCCCAGGGTCTGAGGTGGGAGGGAAACCCTGATGGGATATCACAGTTGTGAACTGGATCTGGTCACTCTGCTTGGCTTGTCAGAGGACCTACGAGTAAAGTCTTGCCTAGTTCTGCCCAAACAAAAGGCTCTGAGGTAGTCTTGGGAATACCATGCTCCTTCCCATCTGCCATACACATCAGAGCAGCTCATGAACACACAGCCTAGAAGATACCCAGTAAAACCAGTCAGCATCTTCTTGAGGTCATAGACTTTATTCCTACAACCATGGGTCCTGATCACAACTAGTACAAGAAAAGATACTCATTTCAGAGTGTCTCATAGGCAGGGTTCTGTTCATGGGACATGGGGGCAGGACAAGGAAGGTAAACTCCCCTGGCTCTGGGAACAGAGCATATCTTATTTCCTTCAGTGAAGCGGATGTGAAAATCCTTTGGAACCCACATGCATAGTCCCTGAAGCAAACCGGTAGACAATGCTGCCGTCTGGCAGAGAATTCAGACTCAACAGAATCAACAAAGTAGTTTTAAAAATAATTCTCCCTAGACTCACAAACTGCCATTTCTAAGGCTAGTGCAGGCCCAAGTTAAGACCTGGTGCTTCCTGAGAGCTGACAGGATTCGAGAGTTACTACCCTGCTCCAGTCTAGGCCCACTTGTTCTTTGAACAGCTAACTTGGGTTGAAGACATGGTCTTCAGGTCTCTGTTCTGGCTTGGAGAGAGAGCTCTTTGCAGTCTAGGAGCATACCAATCTGAGGTTGACTTGGGCTTTGTGCCTTCTGCTTGGCAGTCACAGGAAACTCTTCTCGAGTCAGTGTTGGCCTGCCCTGGCCCTTCACACTCCTGGACAGGTGGGCAGAAATTTGGAGAACCAAGCAGGTGAAAATCCTGGACAATGGACAGTCTTGTTCACTGAGTGGTCAGGCAGCGGTGGCTGAAGAGATGATTGATGACTGATGGGTCAGCCACTGTAGATGTGTCCCCCATGTCATGGTCATTCTGAGCAATTTTCCGGAGCACTCGCCTCATGATTTTCCCTGGTGAACCACACACCTCTGATTACTTGGTAGCAGCACTAACCCTTCCCAGCCATTTCATCCACACGCCTGCCACCAATGGGCCTCAGCCCATCCCAATTCCCACAGGCCTCCTGAACATACCTGAGCGGGTTTTAGGCAAGCCTGGTGCATTCTGGATGTAGTCTGGAGTAGCAATGGGGCCAATCTTTTCTCTAACTGTAACCAACAGATTTTCAAGCATTTCTTTGCATCTTTAGCCAGACTCCCCAAAGCCATGACATTGTTTCCCCAGCTGTTTCTTCAAAACCCTACCTAGAGCCATTCCCAGGTTCACCATTCCTCTCCCCACCCTTCTCTTAATACAGTGACTCTCTACCTTTTTATATTTTGATCATGTTCATAGAACTCTGTTTCTAGAATCAGCCTATTAGGGTTTAAATCCCACCTTATAACAGTATAGTCTTGGGCAAGCAGTTTAAATTCTCTGCACCTGAAGTTTCTTTATCTTTAGAACTAGTAAAACAACAGGATCTATTTCACCGAGGTAATTATCGGAATTAAATGGGATAAGCACTGAGAACCCAGTGGTGACACACAGAAAGTTTTCTAAAACTGTTGACTATTATTATCCTAGAGGGAAGACTAGTCGGTGAGAAGAAGCTAGTCAACCCATAAGACCCCTGGAATTTGTAGCTTGCTACAGCCCTGCCCTTCAGTTCTGCTCAGGGAGGCTCCTCACTGTGCTTCTTGAGTTCCTCAGTGAGAGTAGGGCTGAAGGTGTGGCCATCACACAGGGTGACAAAGCAGTAGAGGCATTCGCCTTTTACAGGATGAGGGTGGCCCACCACAGCTGCCTCTGCAACAGCCTCATGTTCCACAAGTGCTGATTCCACCTCTGCTGTACTCAGAAGATGCCCTTGTCAAGAGAAAGGAAATGCATCATGAGAGATTTCAGCCCTTGCCCCAAGCTCTTGCTCCATCTGTACCCACAGGGCAGACCTGGTCTGGGCCATGGGGGAAGGCTTTCATTCATTCCTCATATGGCATGCCTCCAGCTATGCCTTCACTCTAGGTCCCCTCTTATTGGCATATTCTGTTGTGCTTCGCCCTTCCTCCAAAACCTGGGCCCAGGTCTGAATGCCATACTCCACACATGGTCTGACCATAGGATAGTCCTGGCTCTCTTGGAAGGTTTTGTCTGGGAGTTGCCAGGAAAAAAAAAGATAATGAAATGAGAGGGAATCCAGGACCCTCACCAGATACATTGAGCATGTCATCAATCCTGCCAGTGATCCAGTAATAGCCATCCTGGTCCCGCCGGCAGCCTAGGAAGGAAATCCAACAGTAAATGCCCTGCAGCAGGATACGTAATTTATACTAGGAAACTACACCTACTACAGCAGCCCGTAGCCATCTTTAATAAGTCTTCCACTTTTGTTCACTGTGGCAGCCAACCTTCAGGATGGCCCCACTGGTCTCCATCTCCTGGAGTTTATAGGCCTGCACAGTCTTCTTTCTTACTGTATAGGGTAGTGATCAACAGAATTTGGCAGAAATGATGGGATGTTACTTCTGAGATTAGCTTTTTGGAGACACTAAGCTTTCTCTAGTTGTATTCCCCCAGATCAGTCGCTCTAGGGGTGGCCAGCTGATACATGACTAACCTATGGAACTGAAGATTCCTGCTTAAAGCCACGTAGTGAGCATGGAAGTGGACTGTCAGGCTGAGTCAAACCTTTCAACAGCTATAGCCCCTACTGACAGCTTAGCTGCATGAGACACTGACCAAGAACTGCCCAGCTGAGACACTCAGATCCTGATTCTCAGAAACTATTGGAATGTATTGTTTGAAGCTGCCAATTTGGATGGTGGTTCTATGGCAATAAGTAAGTAATATGCCCATCTCAAGTATATCTTCTAGAGCATTCAAAATTATTTTCCAAGTAGTAATTAGTTCCCTGCCTCCTTCCTCCTTCCCTCCCTCCCCCCTCTTTCTCTCTCTCTCTCTCTGTGTGTGTGTGTGTGTGAGAGAGAGAGAGATGTGTGAGAGAGAGAGAGAGAGAGAGAGAGAGAGAGAGAGAGAGAGAGAGAACAACAGGTTTGAACCTAGGACTTGAAGCATGCTAGGTAAGCATTCTACTACTAAGCTGTATCTCTTTTTAGAGACAGGGTCTCATGTAGCACAGGCTGAACTTGAACTCACTATATAGTCGACATTGGCCTTGCTGCCTCCCAAATGCTATGATTACACCCTTCCCAGTTTAATGTGGGGTTGGAGGATCACATTCAGAGTTTCATGCAAGTACTCTATCAGTTCTCCCTCCCTTTTTAACTTTTAGTTTTAGATACAGGATCTTGCTAATTTGCCCAGGCTGGCCTTGAGTTTGTGTTTCTTCTGCCTCAGCCTCCCAAATAGCTGGGATTACAGATTCCATGAGGTCTGGCAGTAAATTTGTTCTTACTGCTTCTCTGCTTAAAACTAGTAAAGGTCTTCTGTTCTATTTTTAATTTTTTTGAGACAGTGTCTCATGTAGCACAGGCTGCCCTCAAGTTCATTATGTAACCAGAAATGACTTTGAATTTCTCATTTTTGTGCCTCTTCCTCCCGATTATAGTATGTGCCACCACATCTGATCTTATGTGGTGCTGGGGATAGAACTTAGTGAAGGAAGGTGAGTGTCTTAGAGGTGTGGGGGTAGGACACCCAAGGCTCACCATCTCCTGTCACATAGTAGCCAGGGAACTTCTTAAAGTAGGTGGTCTCAAAGCGTGTGTGGTTCCCATAAACTGTGCGCATGATCCCTGGCCAGGGCTGCTTGAACACCTGGGGAGTACAAAAGGTACAGTGATCTCGTCTGCTAGGCTGTTACAGGAAGAAGACAGCCAGCATTGATAGCCCTCAGGGAAAATATCCTAAATGCCATTCCTGAGAAGTAGGGCAAAGTATATAGGCTTTGGAGACGGATGATCCTGGCTTAGAATCCCAATTCTGCCATAGCTATGTGTCCTCAGGTAGGTAACTTAATTTCTTTGAACTTCAGGACCCTCATCTGTAAGTCAAAGAAAATAATTTCTAACTTCTAACATTATTATAAGGATTAAATTAATATAATGTAAACTTCCTAGCATGGTGTTCTATTAGTAATAAACTTCTAGAAAATTTGTGTTTCTTTTGGATAATTCCTCAGGAAACCATGTCCAAATGAAGACAGTCATTTAAAAAAAAGTGAGACCTACATGAGTAAATATGCAATTTCCAATCAGCAGTGTTCAATGTTAGCAGACTGATGACTGCACAGAATTCTAGACTGATAAGAAAGCTTGGATTCAAGTCCTGTCTCTTGTTACCAACTTGATCTTGGAAAAGTGAAACGGGATGGGATCTGATAGGCACTATCACAAAAACTGCAACCATTAACATTTACTGAGAGTACAAAATGTACAGTGATCACATTGCTGGGTAATAGGCAATCCCTTTTCTCTGAGGTCACAGAAGTAGAGCCAGGATCTGAACAGGCAGGCTGATGCCAGAGCTTACATGATTGTCCACTATGTTATAAAGACTCCTTTCTAGTTGCCTTGTTTTTTGTGGTTGTTGTTGTTCATTTGTTTGTTTGTGTGTTTGTTTGTTTGTTTTCTGGAGCTGAGGACTGAACAGGGCCTTGTGCTTGCTAGGCAAGTGCTCTACCACTGAGCTAAATCCCCAACCCCAAAGACTCCTTTTCTATAGAATGTTTGTCAAAGGAAGAATTGGGACTAAGTCTTCCCAACTCCAAAAAAGTACTGTTAGGGATCTTTAAACAAACAGATTTTTTAAAAGGCCTTTAAGGAGCTTTGAAGAGATGGCTCAGTGGTTAAGAACACTGGCTGCTCTTCCAAAGACCTGGGTTCAGTTCCCAGCACCCACATGATGGCTACCAACTGTCCATAACTCCAGTTCCAGGGAATCCAATGCCCTCTTCTGGCCTTTGCAGGTTTGTACACATGTGGCACCCTTACATACATGCAAGCAAAACACTCATACATATAAAATAAAGATAAATAAATATTTTTAATGTTAAGGCCCTTAAGAGCTTTGTGTGCCTAAAAGTAAAGATGCAAAGAATTTAGGATTTCCGCTGTTGTCTTTCAGCACAGGACAAATCCCCATCTGTATTAGGTCTTTAGTAGCTTCCAGGAAAGATTAGGTTATAAGCCCTAAAGCAAAGTATCCTTAGTGGACCCTTTTCCTTTCTCAAAGATCCCCAAGGGTCAGATCCTCACCAGATAACCTTCAGCTTCACCTTCCAGCTCTTCCCCAGACTCATTCAGGATTGCAGGAACTACGCCAAAGAATGGGAAGGACTGAAAGCAAATGAGAGACATAATCCCAGAAAAGGAATGAGGCAACTCTGACTCAATTTCCCAGGAGTCAAAGCCCCAAATTCCTCATACCTCTCAGTTTAGTACCCTACTCTCTAATAGGCCAAAAGCCCCAAACCCTTTCCCTGCCAAGCAGGGGTGCATCACTCACAGCAGAACCAGGTTTCATGGATGTGGCACCAGGGAGAGGGGTCAGCATGTGGCCACCCTATGGAAGTCAGAGATCAGTGGTCTGACTCAGTCTTCTCACACTGTCCCTAAGATTCAGCCTTCTGAGCCCCTCACTTACTGTCTCTGTTTGCCAGAAGGTATCTACGATGGGGCAGCGCTGGGCACCTACCACCCGGTGGTACCACAGCCAGGCTTCAGGGTTGATGGGTTCACCCACTGTGCCTAGTACCTGCAAGGATGCCCGGCTATGCCTTGGGCAGAATGGAAGGAAGGAAAGTTGAGTGCCACTGGGAGCCAAGATACACATGCCTTGGCTCTTCCTTTACCTCCTCCCCTATTCCGGGTCAGGAATTTGGGACAACAGAAAGAAACTTCACAAAGGGCAAAGGGCAGCACCTAGCTCTGAAGGGTACCCATGGGGCAGCAGATGGGGTGGGGTCTCACTTGGTGACAGGTTCATCTCCAAACTTCATCAGCATACGGATTGCTGTGGGTGCTGTGTAGAACTTGGTCACCTTGTATTTTTCCACAATGCTCCAAAAGCGGCTCACATCTGGGTATGTGGGGATCCCCTCAAACTGACCCCCAATGAAAGTAAGTTATTCTTGGCCCTTCCTAATAGTCCTTCTATTCCCCTACCATTCCCTCAGATTCGGTATTTGCCCTTTCTGACCAACCATATCTTCACTCCCTGATGAGATAAGCCAAGAAACTTAGGATATACACAGTACACACAACCCCACCCCACCCCTAGGATTCCTTTCTCTAGGAAGCAGGTTATTGTATATGTTTCCTTTCATTTAGACTAAGCAGCTTTGGGAGGTAGTCACTGTCACCCATGAGAATCTTGTCCCAGCTCCCATCTCACCAAAACACTGGTGGCACCATTTGCCAGTGGCCCATAGGTGACATAGGAATGACCAGTGATCCAGCCAATGTCTGCTGTGCACCAGAACACATCTTCTGGGTGGAAGTCAAACACGTACTTGAAGGTTGTAGCCACATAGAGCATGTAGCCCCCAATCGTGTGCACCACACCCTGTGGAAAGAATGAGGCCTCAGGTTGGGGCTTTGTGTCCACCTCCACTGACCAACAAATGGAGCCTGCATTTGTTGCAGAGCTGGAGCAAAACTCTTAAGGATTCTGTCCCTGCCAATACCCTTTGATAGTGTCTATCATCTTCGTCACAACCTGATGCTACCCAAGCATATGTACACATACACTCTCAGACTGTATTTCTGAACCATCTATCTCTCACATATACACGAACATTCCTAGTATATTCCATCTAATAGTTTTTGTTGTATATTTGTGCTCATATGCTTAATTAGACAGTTGTGTGTGTATGTGTGTGAGAGGGGGGGGGGGATATTTTTGTTTACTCTGTCCCTCCCCCATCCCTAGAAAAGAGAGGCCAGAGGCCAGAATTGCATGTCTGAAACCCATTGGGCAGTCACTTCTTGAGTTTTTGGTTCAGATCAAATGCAAAGGCCCATTAAGGGATATTTCAAAGACTATGGAGAGAACTTAGGGACAGGGTGGACAGAAGGTAGAGTGACAAAGCTTTCGAGTCTTTCCAGTCAAGAGAAGAGTCATCATTTCTTAAGTGTTTCTGACTTCCACTATGCTCTAACTGGAATTTACCATGAAGAAGGAAATGAACCTTAAGAGCGATGGCCTTACAAGCTCAAGAAGGGTCCATGTGCCCGTCCTTAGTCTTGAACTGACAGGACAGCTTTCCCTCATATAAACTATGTAGGGATTGGAGCATCCACAGCAGCCACATGTACTGATCCTTTCTCCCTTTTCTGGGTACCATGAAATCCCCCTCCCCACCTGTCTCACCCTAGGCTTCACCATCCAATGAATGAGGATTTATGTTTCAATTTTATTTAGAAAAAGTAATATGATATTTCTGAAACTCAGGGTAGAATGAAATTCCTACCATTCTATGTTTCCACAGAAATTCACTTCTCACTCATATGCAATAGACACACACACACACACACACACACACACACACACACATACATACTTGCCTTGGGTTTGCCTGTTGAGCCACTGGTATACAGGATGAAGAGCGGATCCTCGGCATCACACCACTCAGGCTCACACTCATCCCCTGCCTCTTGCATGAGCTCATGCCACCACAAGTCAACCCCTTCATTCCAGGAGATCTGAAGAGGAAGACAGGAATATGTAGGGCAGAACTGTGAATAGTTCAAGATAGGGGCAGGAGACACCCCTACCTGGTACCTGGAGGGGTGAGAGGCTGGCATATGAGGATACAGGAAAGGAAGGAGGGTCCTTCAAGGGCAGAGCGAGCAGAGAGAATAGGCTTCTTGGGTATTCCCAGAACCCTCCATCCTTGCTCTACCTCTATCCCAGAACTCCCCACACCTGGCCTTAGTCTGAGAAGGGCCATTGACTTGTTCCTTCCCATCCTTCAATACTGAGCTGAAATACTACCTTCTTAGAAAGACTTGCCTTCAACAGTATCTTCAACAGATTACCCATTGTTATTATTCATCACAAAAGCTGATTTCTTTTCCACACAACTAATATTTTCAGTTATTTTGTTTTATCATCTCCCCTAACTAGACAGTGATCCTTAGGAGGGTAGTGGCATATCTGTAATTTATTTTCTTTTTCCCTATAGCCCTAGCACCTAGTAATATATTTAATGCTCAAAAGACTTTTTTTGTTGGATGAACAACTATGCACACACAGCCTGCATGCACACATATGTACTACAGGACTAGTAATACATCAGCAGGGATGTGGATACCACACAGTTCAGAAAAGCAGAATTAGTCACTACCTACAGGTGAGGTGGGCACTTGACCCTGTTAGTAGCAATATCAACAGATTTTAGTTCAGGTATTTTTTTTCCCTATGTGCTTAGATCCCATCTAGTTGTGAAGCGAGGTTCTCTACTGTCTTTACTGCACTGGTACCAATGGGGCTGCCCCCAGCAACTTGAGACAGGTGCTATTCAGCAATAAGCTTTGCTTCAAGTTGGTGGAGAAACATGGAAGTGAATGCTTCCTAGGAAAGAGATGCTCTACTATCCCAGATTGCCTTTGAGAATGATTTCTGCATCTGCCATCCTGAAGTGTCTCTGACTCTCCCCTGAAAATATTTTGTTTTCCTGGTGACATTCTCTCTTGGAAAACACGTTTTTCCAGTCTATCCTCTGCTGTGTGAAGCTGGCTTCCCTGAATTTACTCCCAAATTGCTCTGCAGTTTAATCTCAGTTCTGCCTCTTCCTAGCTATATGACCTTGAGAAGTCACTGTGCCTCAGGTCACTCATTCCTAAAACAAGGATCATCACCTTTACCCTAATGGCCTCATAGGATTTTATGAATGTCAAAACCGAAAGATATTATCTAATAACTTCAAGCCTTGGATTGTTGGTGGTAGAGTGACTATGAATATCATAAAAGTTAGGTGTTCAGTGACTACTGGGAAAGTTCAATGACTGCCGGGAAAAAAATGAAGAGCTTGATGATGAGAAATGTTTGGGGTTTGCTGTAGCTATCTCAACACCCTTTCCTAGTCATTCAGTTCTTTTCATTTCCTTTTGAGACAAGGTCTCAGGCTTGCTTCCATCTGTAATCCTCCAGCCTCTGCCTCCCAAGTGCTGGGATTACAAGTGCCATTACCTGTGCTTTCTTTAAATTCTTGAATGTTCAATGACTCCAAGTGACAAGTAGATATGGCAGTGTTAGAAAAATTCCCTTCTCTATTACAAAGATATATGGTTATTTATTGTGTGCATATTTGGCTTTTGTTTGTTTGTTTGTTTTGGTCTTTTTGAGACAGGATCTCCCTGTAGCCCCAGCTGGCCTGGAATTAGCTATGTAGATCAGGTTAGCCTTGAACTCACAGAGATCTGCCCTGCCTCTGCCTCCTGAGTGCTGGGACTAAAGACGTGTGCCACCCTACCTGTGCGTATTTGTTTTAAAAAAATCCCAAAATGTAGCTGGGCATGGTGGCTCACGCTTTTAATCCTAGCATTGGGGAAGGAAAGGCAGGAGGATCTCTGTGAGATTGAGGCTAGCCTGATCTATATAGCAAGTTCCAGGCCAGCTGGGGCTACAGAAACTCTGCCTCAAAAATAACAACAAAGACAACCCCAAAACAACAACAAAAAAAGACAAAATAAAACAAAATAACAACCAAAACTCCCAAAGTGTTAGCCATATACCTTGATAAATTAGAAAATGACTCTTCAGCCGAGCATGGTGGTATGCGCCTGTAGTCCCAGCACTTGGGAGGGAGAGGCAGGCAGATGTCTGTGAGTTTGAGGCCAGCATGGTCTACATAATGAGTTCCAGGACAGCTGGGGCTACAGGGAGACCCTGTCTCAATAAGACCAAAAAAAAAAAAGAAAAAGAAAAAAGAGAGAGGAAAGTGTGGTGGCACACGTCTTTAATCTCAGCACTTGGGATGCAGAGGCAGGTGGAGCTCTGAGAGTTTGAGGCCAGCCTGGTCTACATAGTAAGTTCCAGCCAGCCACAGTTACATAGAGATCCTGTCTTTAAAAGAAAAAGAAAGAAAGAAAAGAAAAAAGAGGGACAAGCTATTTCAGCCAGAAAGCATAAATATCCTATTTTTTAGGGCATCTCATTTTGCTAGTGTAAGGTCTATATGAGTTTATGTGTACATGGTCCTGTGTACACTTTTTTGGGGGGGGTGTCTTTTTGAGACAGGGTCTCCCTGTAGCCCCAGCTGGCCTGGAACTTGCTATGTAGATGAGGCTGGCCTCGAACTCACAGAGATCCATCTGCCTCTGCCTCCTAAGTGCTGTGCTTAAAGGCATGTGCCACCATGCCTGGCACATGGATACTTTTTTCTTACCAAATGATTGCTTGAGCTGAGGGCATTAATGCATTTAAATGGAATTATGTCAATATTGTTTATATGAATAATGCTTGCCTATAGTACTGTGAATTGTCGTAGGGTAAGACATAGTTATTTGTGGTTTAACAATGAGAGAGTTCTTATAATCTTAAAATATTGTTCCTTTGTGGGGTTATGTATGTATAGGGAGTGGAGAAGGTGTGGTACTCCAGCTGTGAAGCTGCTGTGGGGTCCAGGAAGCAGCATGAGCTGTTAGTGAAGCAAACATTGGCTGTGAACTACATGTGTACCTATGAGGTCCATGGTTGAAAGAGGAAAAGATAAGAATTTTCTCAAATAAAAATTTTAAAGAGTTGGACCTTGTCCTTGGGACCAGAACAGTCTTAGGGATTACCAGGTATGTAAGAGGAAAAAGGAGCTCATAGGTGATACTGTTGGGGAAGGTACTTGAAAACTGTTCCAGGACCTCCTTTGAAGGTTGCATAACAATGAAGGGTTTGGAGTCATGCCAAGGTTTCTCCAGCTTTTACTGCAGTTTTCAGACCAACAAACCTGGACTTTGTAAGCCTAATTTTATGCTCTTTGAGATTTTGGTAACTGATTTTATTTTCAGCTCCAAGAAATAAAAACCCAGGAGTTTGCTGCTTGAGGCAGAATTACAAGAAGTGTTATTGCTGTGTTGTTTGGTTTTGTTTTTTCCTGTTCTCTCTTTTAGAAAGGCCAGTTTCTCTCCTGTTTTAGGATAACAATAACACGTAACATTTACTGAGTAGTTACAACATCCCAAGCACTATACATATATTGACAAAACCCTATAAGATAGACATAGTTATCTTTTTTTTTTTTTTTTTTTTTTGGTCTTTTTGAGACAGGGTCTCCCTGTAGCCCCAGCTGTCCTGGAACTCACTATGTAGACCAGGCTGGCCTTGAACTCACAGAGATCTGCCTGCCTCTGCCTCCCAAGTGCTGGTACTACAGGTGTGTGCCACCACGCCCGGCAATACAGCTATCTTAATCTTACAGAGGAAGAAACTGAAGCAAGAGACCTTAAATAATTGCCCAAACTTACATTATAAGAGGTGACAGGGCCAGGATTTGAACCCACGTAGTCAGATTCCAGGACCTGTATTCTAAGATACCAAGTTTGTCACCTCTTTCAAAAGAAAGACTTGGGTTCTCAACTAAGTTTTACAAGGAAAACAAAGTTTCCTAAGAATCAGGTCTGTCTCTATATACTAATGACAGCAGAGAAGTTAGTCATAGCAGACAGAGTAAGGTAACCAGTGAAGATAATAAAGCTTGTAGTATGGTGGGCTTCGTGCTTTATTTTAAGAAGGGAAATCATTGTCTTTTATGCATATTTCATCTCTGTATTACTGGTCCTAAAAAAAGTGAAGTCCAGAGAGAAGTGACATATAACACTAAAAACTAGCCTCTGGACTCCAGGCCCACTGTTCCATACTATTCTGCTTTGAGCACCAACTAATGTATTTTCATTTTTAGAATCATTGACAGTGTGACTTTTGTTGAATTTAGCACTTAATTACATCAGAGTCATGTGTGGTTTATAAATTCCAGAACTGTACATCCATGTATTGAGGTATCATTTCTTCTTTGCGATCCCATACAAAACTTATTTTCCCTTTTGCAATACGTGTCTAACTTCCCAACCTGATGGTGAAATCCTAAGATCTGGCTCTGCTAGGTCTGTTCCTCCTCCACCTGCTCCTCCCATCTTTCCTGGCTCTGCCCCAGCTAAATGCACAGTATATGCTTTCTGACAGTGTATGGTCCCTTCTCCCACAAAAAATCTACGATGCAGGAGTGAACCCGGATGTCGTTGCTAACTCTGAGATCCTTGCTATATGCTAGTTGACAGAGACAGAAACAGACATGAAATTTTATAATCCTTGAGTGACCAAGTTGTCAAGGGGCCCAGGAACAAAGGGCATAGGGTTAGGTCTGGCCACCACCTCACTGGGCGAACAAAGCGGATGAACATACAGACAAGCACACAATGAAGCAGTACCGGGGCAATGTAGAAGTGGATACCTGGGGTTGGGTGCGCTTGGATTTCTCCTTCAGCTTACCCTGTTAAGAGCCCATGGAATGGAAAGCCTGATGAGCAGGGTCCAAAGATAAAGGAGAGGGAAGGGTGAGCACTCCCTAAACCCCTGGATGCCTTCTTTACCCCAGGGTACCTTCTCACTGGTTACTCTATTTTCCTAATCCCATTTATATACAGAATTTTTAATACTGATTGGGCTCTCCAATCTCCCTAGTCCCATACCAACCTCTCTAGTCCCAACACCACTCAGGATCATAGAATCTGAGTAATTCTCTTTCTGAACTCCAGAACTTTCATTCTTGTACCCCTTAGAAGGGGAGGCCAACAATGGGACTTCTACAGCTTTCAGCAGAAGCACTGGATCCACAGCAAACAAAAGTTATCTTGAAGGCCGTACCCTAGCCTTTCTTTGCAGGCATCTCCTAGGCCACAAAGTAGCTCATCCAAGTCACAGTCCAGTCAAGATTATGACAAAGTCACCCAAGTGAGCACATTTCCAATTCAAGTCCAACCCAAGCCAAAGCCTAAACCCTAAGGGTCACCTAAGCCTATCAATCAATCTTCAGTCTTTCATGCTAAGCTCCTAAAGCACAAGGACCTATCTATGTTCAAGGTCAAAGTCCCCTGCTCTCAACCAGCCCTACTAGAGGAAGCCTTCCTGGAACGATTCCCAGATTTCAGTATTATAAGGAAGCAAAGGAAGATATTGGGAAATTCTTGGGCAGGAAGAGAGGAAATTTGATCTCAAAGGAGAGTACAGTAGTTGCAGACTCACCTGGACATCTGGAAATGTTCTCTTAATTGGGGGAGACTGGCTGGGGGAGTCACTCATGCCCAGCTCTGCCCGCCCTAGGTGTCTGACCACAATGCAGCATCTCACTGGGAAACCCCTGGAGAAAAAAGAAAAGGCTGGAGTGCTGGCCTGGTTAGCTAAAAGAAGTTGTCAAGATCCACCCATGCCCCTATAAGGAGTGTAGGGAGGACAAAGGGAAGCTGGCAATGGAGACAGGTCCTGTCAACTCCATGGTAGTAGCCAATAGGCCAGCATACTTACTTCTCTCGACATTTCTCCAAGGACTCATCAGCCAGCTCCTTCAGGTTCACAAGCTTTTCCCCCCTGTAGAAGGCATCTTTGGAGAGCAATAAACATTTCAGGCCTTAGTACACACCATGCTCCCCAGTGGGCCCAGTGTCTACAGGGCCCTTCCTGAGTGGGCCTCTTGAATCTGGTTCTTCCAGATGATTTGGGCTGACATAGGGTCAGTTGAGTGGGATGAGGAGAAAGACAGACAGGCAGTCCATACCCTCCATCCCAAGTAGCCCCAAATCAACAAGCTAACTAGAGACCAAGACTTGAGGTGCAAGGGATCTGGAGAAGGGGTGAGAAAATTAGTCACCTGTAGTGATGAGAACACTGCAACTGGAATCCAAGATCCTTTCACAGAGAGACTCTGCAGAGAAGCCTGCAAACTAGGGAGCAGAAGAAAAACCGAGGAAAGGGAGCACCTAGGCCTGAAGTGATCAAAGAAGGAGCTGCTTATGAAATTCAGCATCTCCAAACTAGGACCACAGAAGATACTAGACAATGATTTGGACCTATGATAGTTTAAATTCTTTAGTTTGTTACTTCATATTGTCCATCATCCAGGGCCAATTTACTTCTCCAGAGCCCTGTCTTTCACCCTTACTTCTTTTCACTAGCCCAAGCACCTACCACAATGGAATGCAAAGCCCCAAGGCGAGCACATGCCAGCATGGCCACCACAAGTTCCAAGATCATGGGCATGTAGATGGCCACTCGGTCACCCTTCTGAATGCCTGCAGGAAAAAAGACACAGTACAGGGACCATGAACCCTTCCCATCCAGTTCCTTCCCATCCAGCTGGCTCCCTTCCCAGCTAAAATTTTTTGTTCCTGTCACCAAATTCCTTCCATTTCTTGTCCTCTCCCTCAACAAATCCTCAGATACCCCAGAGTTAGGCCCTCCAGTCCCTTTCCCACACTGCATACTCACCCTGTTTACGGAGAACATTGCTGAACTGACACACTTGGACCAGAAGCTCATGGTATGTGATCTTGGTGGTCTCCCCTGGCTCATTGCCCTCCCTAAAGATGCAGCAAAAAGGATCAGTGATTATGACTATGTGCTGGTTAGTTTTTATTGACAACACAAGCTAGAGTCACCTGGGAAAAGGGAGCCTCAACTGAAGAATTCTTCAGTTCAGAATGGCCTGTGGTCATGTCTGAGGCATTTTGTTAATTGCTAGTTGATGTGGAAGCACCTGGCTCACTGCGGGTGGTACCATCCCTAGGTATGTGGGTCTGGACTGAATAGGAAAGGTAGCTGAGCAAGCCATGGAGCAAGCCAGCAAGCAACATTCTCACATGGTCTCTGCTCCAGGTTCCTCCCTTGGCTTCCTAGGTGATAAACTGTTACCTGAAGTGTAAGATGAAATAAAACTCTTTCCTCCCCTAAGTTGACTTTGGTCAGTGTTTTATCATAGCAACAGAAAACCAAACAAGGATACACTACAACTTTGTCCTCATAAAAAATAGGAGCAGGCCAGGCCTGGTGGCACATGTGTTTAGTCCCAGCACTTGAAGGCAGAGGCAGGGGGATCTCTATGAGTTCAAGGCCAGCCTGGTCTATATAGCGAGTTCCAGGCCAGCTGGGGCTACAGGGAGACCCTGTCTCAAAAAATTCAAAATTAAATAAATAAAAATAAAAAATAAAGAAAAGAGAAGATCAGTCACAAAATCCATCTGCTAACACCAAACCTGACATTTTCCTGTAAGGATGAACCTTCTGCTCACATCTTGAATGGACAGACACTTCAGTTTCTCAAGATGCTTTCTATGCATGTTATGGGTCATTGGTGATACGTAAAGTAGGTGATGGATGAATCTGGTTGATCAGGAGAAAGCACCAGGACACAGACAAAACTCCAGCGGAATGGAGTTTATTAGCAAAGGAACACCTGGGACAGGTACCCTTCCAGGCAGGGAAAATGTCTGCTCCCAGGTCGTGAGCTGGGGTCTTTCATGGGGGGGGGCTTCTGGGGGGTGCTGCAAGGCAGGAAGATATATTTTTTAAAGGTTGGGGGGCACTGTTAAAACCTGTCATCCTTAGAGATCATAGGGGAAGCCTGCTGTGTTGGCCAAACAGTGGAGAAAAGTCTGCTTTTGACTTCAAAGATCAAGGTGCTTTTCTCAGAGGCTTGAGGAACCCTGAGGCCCTCTTGGTGAGGGGGTAGGGCTATCTGAACCCTAACATTTGGAAAGTGTCCTGTCTGAGCCTCATTTTTTATATTAATAAAATGGAGTGATGGGCCCTTCTCTTTTACTCTTTTATTTGTTTTTATTTTATGTATATGAGTGTTTTGCCTGTATGTTATATAAGTGCACCCATGTCATGCAATTTCCTCAGAGGCCAGAAGAAGGTGTCAGATCCCCTGAAACTGGTGTTATGGACAGTGGTTAGCTGCCATGTGGGAGCTAGGAAATGAACCCAGGTCCTCTGCAAGAGCAAGCAATGCTCTTAACCACTGAGCCATCTCTCTAGCCCAGACCCAGGCCCTTCTCTTTTCTCGTTTATTTTATTTTATTTTTATTCTAGGGCTGTGGTAAGGAGAAATGACATCACAGATGTGAGGGGAGGTGTTTGTTTGTTTGTTTGTTTGTTGAGACGGTCTCACTATGTAACTTTAGCTCAACTGTAACTAGCTATGTAGACCAGACTGGCCCCAGACTCAGAGATCTGCCTGCCTCTGTTCCCCAAGGGCTGGCTAATGGCCTGTACAACTATGCCCAGTAAGATATGACTTATTGATGGAGTAGCAAGACTGAATTAAAGCCTTGTGTGGCAGCTCAGTCCTGTAATATCAACATCAAGGGGGCAAAGCAGGAAGACTGCCTCAAGTTCAAGGCCAGCCTGGGTTTCACAGTGAGTTCCAAGCCAGTCAGGGGTTTATTATGAGATCCTGTCTCAAAAAATATATTAAAAGTTGGGCACAGTAACACATGCCTTTAATCCCAGAACTTGGGGGACAAAGGAAGGTGGATCTCTGTGAGAGTAAGGCCACCCTGGTCTACAAAGCAAGTTCCAGGCCAGCTGAGGCTACAGGGAAACCCTGTCTCAATAACAAAACAAAACAAACAAAAACATTAAAAAAAATCTGGGCATGATGGCAGGCATTTGTAATCCCAGCACCTGCAAGGTAGAAGAGGAAGATCAGGAGTTTTAAGGTCAACCTTGGCTACCTAGAGAGATGGCCAGCTGGGTTACACGAGACCTCTCACAAAACAAAAAACAAGAAGAGAGAGAGAGAAAGAAAAAAAGAATGTATGGTAGACAGGCATGGTGCTGCATGCTGGTAATCTAGCATACAGGAGGCAGAGGTGGAGGCAGAGGCAGAGGTAGGAGGATCACAAACTTGACTACATTTAAAAAAAAAAGCAAAAATATAGAAATTGTACTGTTATTTAGAGCAGGGTCTCTACATTAATTGCACTCAGTTACCTACGGAATTTGCTTGACTCTAGATTTCTGGTCCTGACTCAGACCTACTGAATCAGAACGTAAAATCAAAGAATCTTTTCTTTCTTTTCTTACTAATTTTTAAATATTTATTTATTTATTTATACGTATGCGCCCATGCATGCTACATGGTGAGGTCAAAGGACAACTCAGAGGAGTCAGTTCTGTCCTTCTACCATGTGGTCCTTGGATTAAACTCAGGTTGTCAGACTTGGCAGCAAGTGCTTTTACCTGCTGAGTCATTCTTGCTGGCCCAGAATCTGCTTTTTTAAAAAAAAAATTTGTTCTTTGAGCTGGGCATAGTAGGACAGGGGCAGGTGGATCTCTGTGAGATTGAGGCCAGCCTGGTCCACATAGGGAGTTCCAGGCCACCTGGGGCTACAAGGAGACCCTCAGGAAACAAAGGCAAGATCTTAAGTTTGAGGCCAGTCTGGGCTACATAGGGCCTTATGAGTGTAATTTGATTGTAGTGTCCTGTTTTTTATATGTTTTTTTTTCTTCTTTTTAAAAAATATTTACTTATTTATTTCTATGTAAATGCATGCATGTGTATGACATGTGTCATGTAGGCAAGCATATGCCTCAGTTCTCATGTAGAGGTCAGAGGACAACTTCTAGAAGTTAGTTCCTGCCTTCCACCTTGTTGAGTCAGGGTCTCCCTTGTTTCTGTCATGTTACTCCAGGCCAGCTGGCCCACAAGCTTTCAGGTGATTCTGTCTGCCTCACATTTTGCTTAAGAGTACTAGGATTAGTGTGTCTGCTACTGTGCCTGGCTTTTTATGTGGGATTTAGGGATTAAACTCAGGTCCTCAGGCTTTCATGGCCAAAGCTTTTAACCACTGAGCCATATCCCAAGCCTTTTCCTCTTCTTTTCCTTCCTTCCTTTCTTTTGCCTTTTGAGACAGAGTCTCATTGTCTGAAGACCAGACTGGCTTCACACTTTCAATTCTCCTGTCTGCCTTTGACTCCCAAGTGCTGGGATTACAGGTATAAACCACCACATCTTGCTCACATGCTGTTTTTCCAAGCTTTTAATTGTATGGAATAATCATAAACAGAAATATGCTTTTATCACTTTGATTTCACAAAACATGATTGGTTTTATGACTATTTACTTATCTGACTAGACTGAACAATGAGTATTAATCAGAGATCCTAAAATTTAACTCTTTCATCCATATACCCCAAAATTATTTTTAGTAATGAAAATAACCTTTGGCTGAGAAATGTTATCTTTTAAAAATATTTTATTAATTCTAAATAAGATACTTTTTATTTATTAATTCTAAGTAAAATATTTTTTAAAAGATAACATTTCACTGGGTGTGGTGGTGCACACCTTTAGTCCCAGCACTCGGGAGGCAGAGGCAGACAGATCTCTGTGAGTTCAAGGCCAGCCTGGTCTACATAGTGAGTTCCAGGACAGCTGGGGCTACAGGGAGACCGTGTCTCAAAAAGACCCCCCCCAAAAAAAAAAAAAGATAACATTTCTCAAAGGTTTTTTTCATTACGTTTTATTTGTTTATTTAGAGTGTGTGTGTGTGTGCGTGTGCGTGTGCACACAACATGGAGGTCAGAGGACAACTTTTGAGAGTTGGTTCTTTCCCTTCACCATGTGGATCCTGGGGAATGAATTCAGGTCATCAGGCAGCAGCCACTTTACCTGATGAACCATCTCACTGACTTCCTTACCAAAAGTTTTTTAAAACTACCTCAAAAAAATAAAACAATTTCTAAAATGAATGTACCACTTCTTTTCTTTTCTTTTTTTTTTTTTTTTTTTTTTTTTTTTTTTTAAAAAAAAAAAAAAAAAAAAAAAAAAAAAGAGGACGATAAATCTTTCACTGTGATATATCAAAATAACCACCTGCCTTGCCTCCCAAGTGCTGAGATTAAAGGTGTGCACCACCATGCCCAGCTAAATGTACCACTTCTTTTCAATTCCAAAGGTGAATCTGTAATAATAAAACATTTTTGGAGGAATGTAGTCAGTTGGTAGAATGCATGCATGAAGCCCTGGGTTCGATTTCCAGTACTGCATAAAGCAGACATGGTGGCACATGCTTGTAATCCTAGATGGAGACAGAAGGATCAGAAGTTCAAGGTCATCCTTGGCTATATAGTGGGTGTGAGGCCAGCCTGGACTACATAAGACCTCACCTAGGAAGGAAGGAAGGAAGGGAGG